TGTTATGTCGATAAATGACCTCAACCCTTGCCAGGCGATGAGTAATGCACCCTCGCCCTACATATTTTTAAAAATGGCGGCGCATAGCGGCCATAATTTTGCTCCCTCTGGGCTACCCTTTTGACACGTTCCCTGAAAATGTCAGATCCCAGTCATTTGAAATTGGACAAGTTTTAAGAGACCCTCCCCCCTTAGCCCGCGCCCCGCTGGGCTATTCAGCAATACGCGCCCTGCTGGGGGGGGGGGGGGGGGGGGGGCAGATTCTGCCCCCCCCTCTGTCTAACTTCCGTACCGATGGTCGTAGAAAGACGGGGAAAACGGCAATCGAAAGCTCTCAACAAGGCGGATCTTACGAGCCCAAATATTTTTGCTTAAGTAGGTTAGAGGTTAGGTCAAGGTCAGGTCAAGGGTACAAAAACAAAATGTAAGTTTCTACAGTATCGGCCTTGCACCGTAGTTGCCGAAGAATGGACTGAGACTGATCGCCCAAAACGTGTTCTTAGACTACCAAGACAATATTCGTTGCATACAATGTCATTCAAAGGTCAAGGTCAATGTCAGGCCAGGTCAGGTCAGGTCACCAAAAACAAAGTATAGAAAAGGGCATGTGCGACACATGTTTTATGGGTCATTTTACTCATAGAATTCAATAGGCACACTCAATAAGTGATATGGACCACCTCTGGATGAATTTCAGGTCGAGGTCAGGTCAAGGTCAGGTCAAGTGAGGTCAAATTTTGAAGTTGGTTGTTAAGGCCTAAAAAGGTGTCTGTCTGATGCAGTTTTTCACGGCGAATCGAATGGTGCTACTTTTGTTTCCGTACGATGTCTAGAATTTAAAAAAAAATCATTTTTTTCAAAATTTTTGTGTGTCGTGACGTCATAAAATTTTGAATAACTCCCACATTTTTGAGCCGATTCTTCTAAACATTGGTATGTAGGTGGACATAGACTACTTCTCTTATATGTATTCCGGTTTTTTTCGATACACTAAAAATTTTGGACTTTATAATTATTTTCCAAAAAAAAGTCAGTTTTTTTTTAAGAAAAAAATTTGGGCCATAATCCATAATTTTCACAAAAAAACGAGATAGCCATTTGATAGACAAATTAGAATCACGTATAATCTTTTTGTTACGTCTTCATTTTAGTTTTAATTATATCAATTTGCAACATATAACATGAGCATAAGGTTATTCACTCTATTTACACTATTAATCATGCTCAGAAATACCATAGCTTTCCTCCAAGAGGTCTTGATTCTTTTAAAAATGAAGATGTTAGCGGGTTTGAAATTTTGCCGTTTTTGAGGCGAAAATGGCGAACATGATGTCACTTAAACGTCAATTTCTCAAAAATTATCCCACGGATTTCGTTCAAATTTTCAGGGAACGTGTCAAATTGATGTATGATAAGGTACTGAAAGTTTGACGTCGCTGGCGTGACGTGTTTAGAAGTTATTGGTGAAAAACGGGAGGGGGCAGATTCTGCCCCCCCCCCCCCCCCAGCGGGGCGCGGGTTAAAGTGACCATCCCACCTTAACATTAGTTTTGAGTTGCGATAGCTAAATTGGTGGCTATGGCCTGAAAATACCGGTTTGGGCACTCACAACATCGAAAAATGCTTTAATTCGGAGATATGGAATTTCAAACTTGCAGTTTTCGGATTCTAAGGGGATAATGCATTGGAATGCCCCTTAGAATTTGTGACGTCAGCGCAGATCTAACGATTTTAAATCTTTTACTAAAGCGTTTGGTAGTAGAGTTGCAAAGTTTCCCCCAAAGGCTGCTACCGGCACCGCCCCGCCCCACAATTTTTTGGGGGGATACCGGCATGCTACCACGCCCAAAGCAAAAACACCACCAAATTACCGGCATACTAAAAAACCTGCATTGTTAATTCCAGTTACAAGATGCCACACTTTCCTGAGATGCCACATTTTCCTCTTAGTGTCCAAAGTTTGAATCATATACTAATAATTTTTGTGTGTGCAAAACCAAAAATACCGGCATGCTACCGGCAAGACATGCCAGATACCACAAAAAACCCTGCGGTAGTGAAAAATTACCGGCATGCCGGTAATGCGGTAGGGAAACTTTGCAACTCTATTTGGTAGCACGCGGTGGTATATGCCGCTTTGCGCGCAACAAGTGCCGCACTTTCAAATAAAGTCGCTAGGAACAGCAGAGATCCCAAAAAGTAAACAAAAGTAAAAGTCTAATATCTTAAAAACCGGTGAATATTTTTCGATGAAATTTGGTAGATATTCGTTTTCGCTCTTTCTGAACCGAGCGACATCACTTTCATTGCAATTCATTAACTTTTTTGAAGGTGGGAGAGTCCCTTTAAGAAAGATAGTTTCAAGAAAGTTAATTGAAATGGCATAAAAGTGATGTATCATGGTTAAAAAAGCAAAAATGAATATCTGCAAAGTTTCACCGAAAAATATTCACCAGTTTTTGAAATAACTATTAGGCTTTCATTTTTGCTTCGCTGTTCTTATGACTTCATTTGAAAGCAACAGTTTGGAATCAGTACGACAGATGTTGCGCGCAAGGCAGTATATATCTTTGAATAACTTCATTAGCTATTCAAAGTTGACTTAATCTTGGGTGAAGTTTAAAAGGCTATCTAAACTGGTAAAACAATATAGCATTCCATGCGCAGTGACGTGCTGTGTTCACTGGTGCTTTTGCTTTTGCTCTACCTACTTGTCACCAAAACGTGACGGAACGTGGGGACAAACGTAATGTAGGTACATACCTACATCGTCATCATGCCGATCCATACACACGACGGCATTTTTACTGTTCCGAGATGGTTTATCGTCTCTCCAATTCACGGATCGTGCCGACCAGGAGCTAATCCCTATACGACAGAATTGCCGTATAGGGATACCGATACCGACGGCTTCTGAAATCACCGTTTCTTCCGGCGCCGTCTGACGTCACAGACGATATCGGTACTGTCTGACGTCACAGACGAAACTTGCACCGTCTGACGTCACACACGATACTGGTACTTTCTGACGTCACCGTTACAGTTTTACCTCCCGGTGGACACACAAAATACCTACACTAAAATTGAATCACATATCATTATCACCGATCGCTGTTGCGGACGTTTTACGTTAAAAAAAGGCAAAAACGAAAAAGAACGTATGGGAAGTGGTGCACCAAATAATGGGGGGGGGGGGGCGACGATTAGCCGTCAAGGGACCGGGGCAGGCGGCGTTTTCGCCGCCCGTTCCCTGACCAATATTTGTCATAAGCTTGCGAACTCTGAGAGATATTGACGCCAATCTCTCAGTAGGCAGATACCGTTTTCCCCCTCAACTAGACATCTTCTGGAGACAACAAAGTCAGAAAGAAGATGTTAAAAAGCTAAGAAGTCAAGCTCACATCGTTAAAAGCTAAAAATGGATGAAAATTAGGAACGTCATTGAGACTTTATAATAAGGTCCATTTGCATTTATATTTTGAATAATAATGGATTTAAAGAATGCATTAATATTGCATTTTGAGGCAGGCGCAGCACGTTACGTTTATTTGCAAAGCTTTAGCTGCCTACATAATTCGAACAGAAACCCTCCTTTGTATGGTTCACGCTCAGACGACTCACGTAACATTGTCGTCATTTGTATTGAAAACGGCGTGACGAATATTCAACAAAGCGAGCAATCGTCGAATCATGAAGAATGCTTTAAGAAAGCAAACTATTTACACACGAGGGCTTCGCATTTCCTCCCAATGCGGGAGCCTATTAAAGCTATGGCGATGCTTCGATGTCTCCCCTCAGTCGCGGAGTTGCCTCCCCTCAGTCGCAGAGACGCCTCCCCTCAGTCGCGGAGCTGCCTCCCCTCAGTCACAGAGACGCTCCCCTCAGTCACGGAGATCGAGTGAGCAATAACATACGGTGCGCGGCACGCCTCACGCGCCGACCCACAGACCGATCAGCCGCTCCCACCGTACCAAACAACGCGCCACCTACGCCAGACATGCTTGAACGTATGTCGCGGGCTCGGCAATAACACCATGGTGATGCATCACTTTCTACATATGGTAATGCGTGGCCGGCGCCACTGACCTGTGGGCGGCTCCGGGAGGCCGCCGCTGCCAGCCCCGGCCGGCCAACAGAGCGAGAGGCGCGGGTGACAAATCGGTATCACATGGTGTCGAGAGCCACGGCGGCACCTGCAGCCCCGCAGCACCCGCCGCGAGCGGGGGCCAGGGCGGCGCCTGCAGCCCGGCAGCACCCACCGCGAGCGGGGGCCACGGCGGCACCCATACCTAGGCGTCACCCACCGCGAGCGAGGGCCACGGCGGCACCCACAGGAGTCACCCACCGCACCCACGGCGAGCACACACTCATCAACACACTAACGGCAGATCATAATTCAGGAAGATCATAGTTATTTGCTAGCTACAAGATGTGAAGATATAAGATATCGACTAGTCATAGTGATTAGGCGAGGCTTCATATTGCGTCATCATACGCCGCAACGGCAGCTCGATATGGCGCACTTAACAAGACAACAAGCAAACTTCAGCGTTCACTGGAAGCGTTCATCGAGCTATAGGTATAAGCAATATCGACTGGAATATAGGACTTCTTAAATAAATATCCCTTCATAAATGTGTACCTAAGTTTGTTAATTACTATGGCTTCATTTATTTCATGAGAAACTCCATATTGAGGTGACCTCGTCACCGCGACCGGTGATTGCTGAGGTGACGCCAGCCCCGAACAGGAGGTGTAATGACTAGTGTAGAACCGGATTGGCTGTCTATAAGGAAAAAGAAGACGGACGATCAAATAATCTCTGTGGAGATACAGGTGAGCACAGGTGTCTCTCTGTGAGCATGGGCATAACTAGACCGATATTAAAAACGCAGAAGTCGCCCATTCGCCCTCAAGCCAATGCTCGCTAATCAGGAAGTCAGGAATAGTGGCAATGCTGAGCAGTTAGTACACACGAGTTCTCCTGAAGAGCTGTACACTAAAAACTGGAGACCAAAATGGTCCCTGATTCGCCACCCTCCCGAGGGGCGCGCACAGGCCCCGGTCGGCGGCACTCGGCGGCCAGCGAGGGTCGCGGCAGGTGGCGCTGCGGGCGCAGTCCGTTTGAGCAGGTGGCGCTGCAGTCGGCGGCGTCACGGCACGATGATGTGCGGCGCCGAGAGCAGCACGGCCACCGTGGCCACTATGGTGAACAGCGTGAACACTATGAGACACAGGCGGTCCACCACCATGGCGGCAAACTTCCAGTCGCTGGTCACCTCGCCCTGCTCGTCGTCGCGGCGCATCTTGTCGGTGATGGTGTGCAGCTCCTTCAGTATGAGCTGCAGCTCGCGCGCGCAGCCGGCCAGGCAGCCGCCGCCGCCGCCGCCGCGGCCCGGCTCGTCGCTGGCCGGCAGCCGCAGGCAGCTGGCGCCCGAGCCCGGCAGGCCGCCGGCGCCGCGGAAATCATCGTCCATGTCGAGCACGTTGGCCAGCAGCGACTTGGAGGAGCGCTCCTTCAGCTCCAGCTCCTTCATCTTGTTGTTCATCAGGATTGTTTTCCGCGTGATCTTCTCTCCTGGGCGCGACATGCGCAGCAGCCACGGCATCCATTGCAGGAACAGACTCCGCACCTGTCGACACAAACACAATGTCATCCACTGCAGGAACAGACTCCGCACCTGCCGACACAAACACAATGTCATCCACTGCAGGAACAGACTCCGGACCTGCCGTCACAAACACAATGTCATCCACTGCAGGAACAGACTCCGCACCTGCCGACACAAACACAATGACATCCACTGCAGGAACAGACTCCGCACCTGTCGACACAAACAAAATGTCATCCACTGCAGGAACAGACTGCCGTCACAAACACAATGTCATCCACTGCAGGAACAGACTCCGCACCTGCCGTCACAAACACAATGTCATCCACTGCAGGAACAGACTCCTGCTGACACAAAGAAAATGGCAGCCACTGCAGGAACAGGCTCCGCACCTGCCGTCACAAACACAATGTCATCCACTGCAGGAACAGACTCCGCACCTGCCGTCGCACATACAATGTCATCCACTGCAGGAACAGACTCCGCACCTGTCGACACAAACACAATGTCATCCACTGCAGGAACAGACTGCCGTCACAAACACAATGTCATCCACTGCAGGAACAGACTCCGGACCTGCCGACGCACATACAATGTCATCTACTGCAGGAACAGACTCCGGACCTGTCGACACAAACACAATGTCATCCACTGCAGGAACAGACTCCGCACCTGCCGACGCACATACAATGTCATCCACTGCAGGAACAGACTCCGCACCTGTCGACACAAACACAATGTCATCCACTGCAGGAACAGACTCCGCACCTGCCGACGCACATACAATGTCATCCACTGCAGGAACAGACACCGGACCTGCCGTCACAAACACAATGTCATCCACTGCAGGAACAGACTCCGCACCTGCCGACGCACATACAATGTCCTCCACTGCAGGAACAGACTCCGCACCTGCCGTCACAAACACAATGTCATCCACTGCAGGAACAGACTCCGCACCTGTCGACACAAACACAATGTCATCCACTGCAGGAACAGACTCCGCACCTGCCGACGCACCTACAATGTCATCCACTGCAGGAACAGACTCCGGACCTGTCGACACAAACACAATGTCATCCACTGCAGGAACAGACTCCGCACCTGCCGACGCACATACAATGTCATCCACTGCAGGAACAGACTCCGCACCTGCCGTCACAACTCACAACCACAATGTCATCCACTGCAGGAACAGACTCCGCACCTGTCGACACAAACACAATGTCATCCACTGCAGGAACAGACTCCGCACCTGCCGACGCACATACAATGTCATCCACTGCAGGAACAGACTCCGCACCTGTCGACACAAACACAATGTCATCCACTGCAGGAACAGACACCGGACCTGCCGTCACAAACAGAATGTCATCCACTGCAGGAACAGACTGCCGTCACAAACACAATGTCATCTACTGCAGGAACAGACACCGGACCTGTCGACACAAACACAATGTCATCCACTGCAGGAACAGACACCGGACCTGTCGACGAACATGCAATGTCATCCACTACAGAAACAGACTCCTGCCGTCACAAACACAATGTCATCCACTGCAGGAACAGACTCCGGACCTGTCGACACAAACACAATGTCATCCACTGCAGGAACAGACTCCGCACCTGCCGACGCACATACAATGTCATCCACTGCAGGAACAGACTCCGCACCTGTCGACACAAACACAATGTCATCCACTGCAGGAACAGACTCCGCACCTGCCGACGCACATACAATGTCATCCACTGCAGGAACAGACTCCGGACCTGTCGACACAAACACAATGTCATCCACTGCAGGAACAGACTCCGCACCTGCCGACGCACATACAATGTCATCCACTGCAGGAACAGACACCGGACCTGCCGTCACAAACACAATGTCATCCACTGCAGGAACAGACTGCCGTCACAAACACAATGTCATCCACTGCAGGAACAGACTCCGCACCTGCCGACGCACATACAATGTCATCCACTGCAGGAACAGACTCCGCACCTGTCGACACAAACACAATGTCATCCACTGCAGGAACAGACTCCGCACCTGCCGACGCACATACAATGTCATCCACTGCAGGAACAGACTTCGCACCTGCCGACGCACATACAATGTCATCCACTGCAGGAACAGACTGCCGTCACAAACACAATGTCATCCACTGCAGGAACAGACTCCGCACCTGTCGACACAAACACAATGTCATCCACTGCAGGAACAGACTCCGCACCTGCCGACGCACATACAATGTCATCCACTGCAGGAACAGACTCCGCACCTGCCGTCACAACTCACAACCACAATGTCATCCACTGCAGGAACAGACTCCGCACCTGTCGACACAAACACAATGTCATCCACTGCAGGAACAGACTCCGCACCTGCCGACGCACATACAATGTCATCCACTGCAGGAACAGACTCCGGACCTGCCGTCACAAACACAATGTCATCCACTGCAGGAACAGACTCCGCACCTGCCGACGCACATACAATGTCATCCACTGCAGGAACAGACTCCGCACCTGCCGTCACAACTCACAACCACAATGTCATCCACTGCAGGAACAGACTCCGCACCTGCCGACGCACATACAATGTCATCCACTGCAGGAACAGACTCCGCACCTGTCGACACAAACACAATGTCATCCACTGCAGGAACAGACTCCGGACCTGTCGTCACAAACACAATGTCATCCACTGCAGGAACAGACTCCGCACCTGCCGTCACAAACACAATGTCATCCACTGCAGGAACAGACTCCACACCTGCCGTCACAAACACAATGTCATCCACTGCAGGAACAGACTCCGCACCTGTCGACACAAACACAATGTCATCCACTGTCGTACTGACTTAAAAGTCACCGTCCAGCACAAGAAGAAGATCTATTCTGCTCTCCTCTACACCTTCCAGCCAACTAAACTCACAATCCCCCTCCCGGCACATCCACAGCTCGCAGACACACATCTCACATCATCACCAACCAATCGCGCTGTCATACGTCATATATCTCACATCATAACCAGCCAATCATGCTCCCATACGTCATTCCCGGCCCAGCTACTTGCAGGGTGTAACTCGGCCCTGCCGGCATCAGATGCCGGCGGCTATGACCAACGCTGGGTCACCGGTTCACAGCTCGACGCTGAAGCTGACTCACACTTATACGGCTCACATTCATCCTTGCGTCACGCTACATCACCCCCTGGTTCTGAAGAACCACATTACTCTACATGTTACATGTCATTCAATCAACGCATCAACTACATCCTCTGGCACACCATCGCCATATCTTTCCGGCTCTCTTCGAACACGCGTACCACGCCGCAGCGTCGCAGGCACGAACGTTTCACTCTCGTCTGCGGACACATCGGACCCGGTCGGTGGATCGGGGTCCGGGGACTGAGCGACGCTGGGCGGCCGCGTGTCCGACTCCGTCACATCACTCGGAGCTGGCGACACACACACGCCATCACACTCGCTGTCATCAGACCACTCCACCGTTGGCGCTCGCAGAGCCCCTGGCCTCGGACATTCAGGGACGGTCAACCGATGTCGGAGGTTTCGCACATGTCGTGGGACATTATCGACTTCGATTGTCTGGGCCGAAACGACGCCTGTCACAATACCCTCGTCTGACTTTACAAAACATCGGTCGCCCCGCCGCCGAACCCACACCTTGTCCCCTACCTGGTATACACCGGGTTTCTTCAGCGGCAGGGCGTCACCAGGCTCGTCTGAGGTTCTGCGGGGCGTCACGTCAACGTCTCGGCCAGGGTGTCGAAGCACCCCGTTGATTGGAGCTGTGGCCGGGTCACTGCCATCCTTCGGTGTCACGTTGTATCGATGGACTGCTTCAGCAACGGAGCAGGACTGCCGGGCCACCATCACTTTGATGGTACGATGATGGCGCTCGACGATGCCGTTCCCGCCGGGCTCGTAGGCAGCGCGGAACCGGATGGATACGTCCCAGCGAGCCGCGAACGCTAACATGACCCGGCCACGGAACTCTGTCGCATTGTCCGTGAGTATTTCCGCCGGGGCTCCACGCTCTAGAAACACGTTCTCCAGCTCACTCACAATCTCCAGAGCTCCTGCCCGGCGAAGCCGTCGCCATATGGCGTACCTCGACGGCCCGCAGTCCACCAGCGTCAGGTATGGGTGGCCGTGCACGTGGGTGACATCAATGGCCAGGCGATCCCACGTGCGTTCTGTTCCGAGTGACCCACCGGGCCAGCGCTCCGGCGCCGGGTCAATCGAGGCACACGTCTGGCATCGTCTGACCACGTCTCGCACAGCTGGTTTTGACACCCGCCTCACCCCCAGCTCACGTCGGGCGTACCACAACGTTCTCCTCACTCCTTGGTGACCGATGTTTTCGTGGATGGTGCGGATGTCACTCGCTGAGGCACTTGTGATGGCAGCGACAGCCACCGGTTGTGCTTTGGACGAATCAGTGGTTGGCTGGTCGGCAGTCTGCAGCCAGGCGTTGGGCACCCGCGTCACCTCATCAGCACGGTTGACCGCTGACGCGACCAGCTCGATAGTGACCTCCAGTTCGTACTCGATGACGAGCTGACGGAAAACAGCCACGCGCCGTCGGATAAGCATTTCGGACTGCGCCTTGGTTCGCAGCCTTGCCTTACCCGACAGCGCGTCACTCAGCCAGCGGTGCACCGTCACCGAGTCTGTCCGGAGCGTCAGGCGACGGAAGCCCCATGCTACCGCCAGGTTGACACCGTTGAGAGCGGCATCCAGTTCTGAGATATTGATGTGCACGTCCCTCTCCGATTCGGCACGCAGCCAGGACGCGTCCTCGATGATGGCGCCCGTGTCAGGGTCAGTGAGCACGACACCGCGGGCGATGGAGCTGGCGTCGGTCCACACCACGACGCTCGTCCCTGTCACACACCACTGGCCGCGTGCCGGGTCACATGCTCGAAACCGCCGTGACACCTCATCCACCTCACGTTGTAGTTCCTCGCTGACGATCGGAGTGTCCCAGTCCGGGCTGAGGCGGTTGGCAGTCCGCTTCATCCATGCAGCGGCCGGCCGCAGCCAGCCTGCGACCGGCACATGAGATGTCAGCTGGCCGGCCCACGCGAAGACAGATCGCCGCGTTAGCACGGGTGGAGCCTGCGTTGGTGACTCCCCGTCCCTACTCCACTGGAGTGCCGGCCCGTCGCTCTCGGCGACACGAAGGCCCAGCATACGTGCACCGGTCGCGACCCGCTCCGGCGGCTTGCATGTGAGCCCGAATCGAGCGAAGTGCTCGGCAACCTCATCAGCCGAAACCACCGCTTCGTTGACCAGCAGATCATCGGCGTAAGGCAGCACTGCCTCTGCCAACCCGGGGCTCTGTGCGAGCACCTTCCTGACCACAGCCTTCATGATCAGAGGCGCGATACTGAGCCCAAAGCCGACCCTGGTCAGGCAGTACCGCCGCCCTTGCACGATGACTGTCTGGTACGGCCACAGGGCCGGGTCCACACGAAGCTGAAGAAAAGCTTTCTTCAGATCCAGGACAGCGACCCGGCGTCCGTGACGTCGCCACCTTCGCAGCTCTTCCACGCAGACGTCAGCGTCGGCTGTGTGACGTGTCAGGTGTTGATTGAGTTCCCGATAATCTAACACCGGCCGCACCTTGTCCTTCGCTGCCTGAGTAACCACCATCAACGGGATCAATCCCTGTGCGGGACCGTACATCGTCTCATCGTATTCGCGCAGCCAGCCCTCACTAATCCACAGCGCCAGCTCTGCATTGAATTTTTCACGCGCACAACTCGGCACACCGTACTGAGATATCGAGTTTCCAAGCGGGGGCGGAGCCACGCCACCGGCCCATTTCCAACGGACTGTCCACACATCATCGAACACAGCCGTGAAGTCAGTCTCGTCAATCCTTAGCTCCGGCTCCGTGTCGACCGCTCGACACACCTCCCGCTCCGGCGGGACCTCACGCTGCACCACAGCAGCCGTGTCGACCGCACGACACACCTCCCGCTCCGGCGGGGCCTCACGCTGCACCACAGTAGCCGTGTCGACCGCTCGACACACCTCCCGCTCCGGCGGGACCTCACGCTGCACCACAGCAGCCGTGTCAACCGCTCGACACACCTCCCGCTCCGGCGGGGCCTCACGCTGCACCACAGCAGCCGTGTCGACCGCTCGACACACCTCCCGCTCCGGCGGGGCCTCACGCTGCACCACAGCAGCCGTGTCGACGCTCGCAACTGGGTTGTCGCTCCCGAAGCGAACGGATCCTCCACTTACACTCACGCCCTGCAGGGCGTCAATGCCGGTCATGCCCAGCAACACGTCTACGCCCAGCAACCGGGCCGGTACGACGACCGCCCGCACACTCACTGTCGCCCCGCGCACTCCAAGGCTGACCACAGCCCGCCCACAGCACAGCACCGGGCTGTCGTTGACAGCGACCAAGCTGGCGTCACTCCGCTCCCAGCAGGACACCATGCCCTTCCACACCACTGTCTCGCTGCACCCTGTGTCGACGAGTGCTCGGCACTTGCGCCCATTTACATTGATGTCGATGATGGGGGCTCTTGGGTCACTGCGGCAGCTGGCGACGGCGGAGCCCGTGGCGCTGATGTAGCGCCGTCGCCGTGCCCGTTTGGGCAGAGCCGGGCGATGTGGCCTACCTGGTTACAGGTCCAACACCGCAGTGGTGGACGGCGACCCGTCCCTCTGGCTCCCCGCTGCTGCTGTACATATGATGGCGGCGGCTGGACGACAGCCACCGATGCATTCGCTCTCTCCCTGGCCGCCATCGCCAACGTTGACCTAGCGACGGCGACGGCTCGCTCCAAGGAGAGAGTTTCATCTCCAGCACTGTTACGTACTGTTAGCCGCACCTCCGGCGGCAGACCTTGCAGGAAGTGCGTCGTCATCACTTCGTTGGACACTGAACCTATGAGGGATATCAGCCGCTTGACTGATCCCAGGTAGGCATCCACAGACTCGCCCGGTTGTAGACGTCGGTGATACAGCTCATACATAGCCGCGTCGGGTCCCAATGCAAATGCACGATGCAGTTTTTGGCGGACGATTGCAGCATCCCGCTGCTCGGTGGAGGAGAGGGTGGCCCACACCTCGTACGCCTGGTCCCTCAGGCGTGTGGGTATGACAGCGGCCAGTGACACACGACGCAGGGCACACAGCTGTGTCGCCTGCTCCAGCCATCTGACGACGTCACCGCTGCCGTCGAACTCCGGTATTGCCCGCAGATCGAATGCAGGCGCAGGAAACTCTGGTTCCATGGTATTGGTACCAGCTACCGGTGCACCACTGCCCTCTTCTACGTCAGACATAATCACAACACTTAGTCGAGAAGGCCGAAATAGCTTGTCGTACTGACTTAAAAGTCACCGTCCAGCACAAGAAGAAGATCTATTCTGCTCTCCTCTACACCTTCCAGCCAACTAAACTCACAATCCCCCTCCCGGCACATCCACAGCTCGCAGACACACATCTCACATCATCACCAACCAATCGCGCTGTCATACGTCATATATCTCACATCATAACCAGCCAATCATGCTCCCATACGTCATTCCCGGCCCAGCTACTTGCAGGGTGTAACTCGGCCCTGCCGGCATCAGATGCCGGCGGCTATGACCAACGCTGGGTCACCGGTTCACAGCTCGACGCTGAAGCTGACTCACACTTATACGGCTCACATTCATCCTTGCGTCACGCTACATCCACTGCAGGAACAGACTCCGCACCTGCCGTCACAAACACAATGTCATCCACTGCAGGAACAGACTCCGCACCTGCCGACGCACATACAATGTCATCCACTGCAGGAACAGACTCCGCACCTGTCGTCACAAACACAATGTCATCCACTGCAGGAACAGACTGCCGTCACAAACACAATGTCATCTACTGCAGGAACAGACTCCTGCTGACACAAACACAATGTTATCCACGGCAGAAACAAGCACCTGCCGAAGTGCCGACACAATCACAATGCCATCTACTGAAGGAACAGACACCTGTCGACACAAACATATTGTCATCCACTGCAGGAACAGACTCCTGCTGACACTAGCAGGATGTCATCCAGTGCAGGAACAGACTACTGTCGACAGAAAAACAATGTCATCCAGTGCAGGAACAGACACAGGTCGACAAAGCACACCGTCATCAACTGCAAGTACGTACTCTGCACCTACCCACACGACGCGCAAAATGTCAATCAGGGGCTCACTCACGGACTGAGTGCTCCCTCTGGGGAGAGGGGTGTGTGTTCCCTCTGGGGAGAAGGGAGTGTGCTCCCTCTGGGGAGAGTGGAGTGTGTTCCCTCTGGAGAGAAGGGAGTGTGCTCTCTCTGGAGAGAGGGGAGTGTGTTCCCTCTGGGGAGAGCTCCCTCAAGGGCAGTGTGCTCAGTGCTCACCCAGGGCGCCATCTCGTGCGTCTCGCCGCACCGGTGGTGGTAGTTGAGGATCAGCACGGTGCTCACCACCGACGACGCCACCATGAACATGATGCAGTTGAAGTAGGTGCCTGACAGCGCACGGCCGGGGTCAGCGGGGCTCAGCAGGGGTCACAGACAGGGTCACACGTCACCACCAGACCGGTCTGAATCGGTACTCCCACCGGACGACCTCAGCATGGGCAATGAGAATGATAGGGAAATGGCGGTCAACAGCTCAGCTGCAAAAGCTATGCCTTCCTTCAGAGCTTGGTTCGACGCAACCCAATAGAATATAAATATCTATCAAATCGGATGAAACAAAAGGTATGTTTTAAAAGCCCCCTAAATGATTCATATTATATGGCATCTTGGATTCGTGGCGCCAGTTTAGGATTGTCGCGCCTTAATTGGGCAGAAAAAGACATTTTTGATGCTCGTGACAAGAGAGTGGACAACTGCGGCACATGTGGCCGGCACTTTGGCTCGCATTGTCAGGGCCGTGGTCGTCCGGTTAAACCAGCCACTGCCACTGACCCCCACAGAGGAGCGCCGGGGCGTCACTGGCCGGCCGCGGAGTACCGATTCCGACCCGGCACCTCAGGCAGTCACCCGGTGGAACAGCCATCGGGCCACAAACCGACACAAACGACACCAATGGTCGACAGGCCAGCGATTATGGCCAGCCCTTAATTTAGACGTGTCAAACAACCTATCTATCATAACATGTCAGCTTAGATACAGCCGAATGAATGCTGATTTCGAAACTTATTTAGATTTTTTTAAGTGTTGTCTTTCTATTTCAATGCAAAGTACAAACAAAACCAATTTTTCAGCCATGATTTTCTAAGGTTATCAACATGTTAAGCAAGCAGTTAAAGTGAATCAGCCGCTGAGCCGTCAAAGAAAATATGCATGCATCAAACCAGTGCATTGCACAGCTCATGCAGCATTCGATGATCGTTTAGATTGCTTTTTATTTAAGATGCGAGAAATGTATAAACGAAGTCTGCAAATCGACAGTATCTACATTTAAATGCAAGGCACTCGTGTCTTACTTTCAAATTAAGGATTCAGAAACGCGGCACACATTTCTCACATTTCGAAGTGTTGAAGACATTTATTTATCTAGCGTTGAAGCCAACTATACGTTCTGGTAATGTGAACATCCATTAGTATCTGTTCAGAGCAGCCATTAGAGACATGCTGCGCCGGACCAGTCGTGCACTTCGTTGACACATCTCTCGAGTCTCGTTTGAGTTCAGAGCTGTTTAATGCGTGCATATTTGGTATGTTTATTTCGCTCAGGGTGGAGTCGACACACGGATTACTTTAGTAAGGAACAGAGCTAATTGAAAAACACACAATCCTTAATACCGGTAACAAACAAAGACACATTGATACACGGTAAATTAGATGCACCAGCAAATTAACATGGATTGTAATGAAAATATTGACCCCAGATGCCCGACAGATAAGTGGCCACCATCTCCCAAATGAGCCGCGCCGCTGGTCGACTGAAAAGCCCTGGCCGTGACCTCTGTCGGAGCAGAGGGACCACAGAGCGCGGTGGACCGTTTAGCCCGTATCAGATACTGCTTGGAGCCCTGACACTGGCGCAGCCTGACACCAGACCTGGGGGCGGCTCAGTCGGGAGACGGTGGTAAAAAATCGCCCACAGTCCCACAACCACCCACAGTGACTGCTGGGAGCCGTAGAGGGGAGGCCAGAGTTGATACCGAGACAGGGGGCGGGGGTGAGAGCCAGTTTAATCGTTCGGTTAGAGAGCGTTCAGCGGCCGGCGGGACCTCCAGCTAGATCAGATGCAGTGCCTGGCGGCGGAGAGTGGAATGCGAGCGGGTGCAATGCACAAAACACGGAGCATGCCGGGCGCTATACAGACGCTCTGCGCGGGCACCAGGTCAGTGTGCGGCAGTCGTTTAGGCAGTCAGTTTGTGGCAGTCGTTTAGCGGCGTGCGGCGGGTATCCGTCACCGTTTACGTCCGCCATGGACCGGTTTAATGGTGATTTACGCTGTGCTCAAGGGATGCGGTGGTTTATGGCGGGCCATTGAATACTATGCAGGGCCCGGGGATACTGGGTGACTGGGCCTACCAGAGTCATACATCTAGGAAGATAGGCGCCTGCATTTAACATATGTGCCTTCATAAAAGGGTTGCGCCAAAGTCAGATCCGGTTCACAAATGAGACGGATGACAGGAAACGGTGCCCACCATTGACGTAGGACAACTAACATCCAGGATGATAACACATCACGCTTTTATTTGTCATAACTGCCTTTTTTACTCATCACCATATCCATCCAATGCCGAATGCTGTTCTTGATGCGAGCTACTGACTGGAGTGTGTAAGGTCCGAGGTGATAAAAACAACTACAGTCCTGAGGGAAAATGCGGGTCCGACAGCTATAACCTAATGGAGTGCAACTAGCTATGGCATGAGACCGCTCCATACGATATGGCTGCTGTGTAGTGGACTGTACGATAGTGCTGCTGTACGATATAGTGGACTGGACGTTGTGTCGGTGACGGCTGATGTGGCCCCGCTCTGGCCGGGGCAGTGCGACTCTCGGCGGTAACTGTCCGCCGTCTGGTCCGAACCACGAGACGTCACATTTTCATCGAAATTGGAAACCAACCGGACAGGGCAGTGGTGTCTCTTCTTGTTTGACAAATTCCAGCCGGTCCCCGTTGTGGGTCATAAACTCATCCGCACCTAACGACGAAATAAGTCGCGAGACGCTCCTCCAATATCTGCGGACAGTTTTGCAGTCCCGCTGGGTCGAGTTCAGAAGCCTCAACTCAGCTGGGTCGGCTCAGCCTGCCGGTATTCCTGGGACCCGCTCGGCAGACTACTCGTGGCGCCCCCCCCCCCCCCCCTCCCCCGTCCCTGCTCCGGGGCTAGTGGTGTCAATTTCAGAAAACGTATGTCCAAAGTCCGTCCAATGTCCAATGCTTACGTCGATTGTCCGTCCAAAAATGTCCAAGCCAGCCATTTGTCCAAAGATGTCCGACACCTACGCAATAGTTTACACTCAACACTGCTATTTAATTTGCTTTCCATGTACCATTACAAGCTCAAAAGTGTTAATCATATCGAAAGCTGAGCCTAATAGCCAATCAATTTAAACACGACTACTTTTTAAAAATGTTGAGGTGTAGCAAGCGATTGTCCAAAGTTGTCCAAAGCCTGCAGCCATTGTCCAACTGAATTCCAAATTGGACATTGAACAAAATCGGAATTCCGAATATTCAAATTCCGATTGACACCACTACCCGGGGCGCCCGGCGCCGGACTGCGGAGGTCGGCAGCCTCTCGGCGCGGTGTCGCGGTGCCTGACCGATGTGACCTGACCGGGGCGCGGCCCGTCCGCCGCCACTGGCCGACTCCAGATGAACGGCCGGAAGCCATCTGTTATCGGCCAGCCGGCGCCTGAGCACCATTCCGCCCTGTCATTCCGCCCAGCCGGCTGAGGCAGAGACGCCCGGCCCATTCCGGCCTTTGAGCCCCAGCGAGGTGCCGGAACAGAAGGGGGACGGACGGGACAGTGCAGTTCGCCACATTGCGCCGCGGTAGTCTCCTATTCCTAGCCACCTCCACTCGACAGACGTGAAACAACCGCAAGGAGCGCAAGAAAAAAAAAACTAAATTTGTGTAAAAGAAAGCAGAGGATGAATCACAAACGAATTTGGAGGCCTTGTTAGTTGACATTGCAAAATATCAGTGATTAGTTGAGGCCGCAGTGGTTGAATCATAGCGCTTTTCAGTGCAAAATGTGGCCTACATGATTGATTACTGAACTGCGATTCAGCCGCTAGCAGCCGCCACTCCGTGGCCCAGATTTATGTGTCTGTCTTTTAATTGTTATTGAGATTTGTTAGCCTCTTTTCATCATCTACTGTCACAACTATATCGGCCAAAAACCGGATGTGATGCAATTATATTGAAGCAAGTCTCGCAACAGCCGTTGAGATGAATTGATGGTGGGTGGGGATAGAATTCGGTGACTGCCATAACCCGATGTATATTTTTAATTGTATAATTCATGTGGTTTTTTAAAGAAGTTATGCTAAGAAGCCCAAACAACGTGTTACCTGTCTGTAATTTTCTTGGCTTTCCCGAGAAGACAGGAAAGCGCGAGCAAAATGCACTGTATTCGCTTCGCTGAGACGAAGAGTTTACATTACAAGTTTGTGTTTTTGTAATGTCTTTTCCTTTCCCTACCCTACATCACCTCCGTAACAAACAAAGAGCGGCCCATTCCTGTGAGCACATTAACGCCATCGATGAGGTGAGGTGAGAGTGGCGCTACCAGCGAGGTGCCGCTAGCTGCTACCGAAAGAGGGTCGAGAAGGGAGAGAAGGAGACTGGAGAGGCAGCACAGCCCGGGTGGCTGGTCAGATTATCGGCGCTCGATTAGGTGGCGGTGGCCCGGCTACGTTCGGGTGGTGGCCGCCGGAGCAAGAGAACAGAGCATGCCAATCTCGACTATAGAACGCGGCGATCCCCGGCGAGGTCTCGGTGCCGGTCGCGGTGGCGGCATTCGGCGGCCTGCGGCTCGACAGCGGCGCCACAGCTGCTCTAAGCGGCCGGCTGGGCGGGCTCGGCCTATACGAGGCTGCCGTAACGGCCGCAGAGTCTCGCAGCTGACAGCAGTTACAGCTGACAGCGGTCACAGCTGACAGCAGTCACAGCTGATAGCGGTCAGAGCTGACAGCAGTCGCAGCTGACAGCAGTCGCAGCTGACAGCAGTCACAGCTGACAGCAGTCACAGCAGTCGCAGCTGACAGCTGACAGCAGTCACAGCTGACAGTGGTCACAGCTGACAGCAGTAGCAGCAGCTGACAGCAGCTGACAGCTGACAGCGGCGGCAGGCGCGGGCACGGTGCGGCGGCGGACCGCGGCGGGGCGGCGGCGGAAAGTGACGGAGCTGGTGGACAGTCAAACAGCAGGACTGCTGTCTGGCTAAAGGACAGGTTACATGGCTCGGGCTCCCTCACAAACGGCAGACGGCAGGGTAACAGCTGATTCCGTCCAGAGTGGAAATGTTACCTTCCCAACATAATATTCTAACCTTACTTCTTTTAATAAAATAAAAATAATTTATGAGCACAGACATTTTAATTTTAATTTAGTATTAAGCTGTGGTGAGACAGTTGCCAAAATCCTTTGAATGGACGTGTTTCTTATATCAGAAGCTGCGATAAGCGGGGACTGTACTGTTGTGGAGGTGGTGATTTCTATGGCCCAATTGGTAAGGTCTGCGTTGGAAGTAGACGGTACCTATGAGGTGAGCGCTGGCGCCGTCCTGACTCGTCACATTCACCAACTTTATGCCCTGATACAGTGAGGGCAGGGGGCGATAGACGTCTGTCTATTGACCGACTGTCAGCACTCAGCACCCGGTCCACCTCGGGATGGCCCTGATTTCCAGTATCCTCGTCATCCTAGCAATATTTTGCAACTGACCTTTCAGGAACAGATTTATAGTCCCACTCAACCACTTTGTTATGTGATAAGGCTGTAAGTTCTCAGACTCGAAAATAAAACAATTTATTGGACATAGAAGTCTTCGCCATAAAACTTCAGAAGGTTCCATGCTGTAATTAAACTGTAACTAACTATTATGCCAGGTTTAAACTTTGCATGGAGATAGCAAATGTTTGCCTCTATCTAGAAAGATTTCACATACTGCAGGTGCATAATTACGGGTGACTGTCCCTGGGACTCATCGGATTGCCATGGTGCCCAACGTTTTCTAACCACATTGTATCCTGACTTTTGTGTCTCGAAACGACTACAAACTTCTAACGGCGTCGCCGCTAAAGTCACCCGGACAAACTGTTCTCCCACGTCTTTGCACTCTCCTCCCGGGACCACTGTATTGTCCTCCCGGGATAGTGTACTGTCCTCTCGGGACAGTGTATTGTCCTTCCGGGGCAGTGTACTGTCCTCTCGGGGCCACTGTATTGTCATTACGGGACAGTTCACTGTTCTCCCGGGACTGTCCTCCCGGGACAGTGTTCTATCCTTCCGGGACAGTGTACTGTTCTCCCGGGATTTCAGACTCTCACTGTTCTCGCAGCCCTCTGGACTCTACACTGTTCTACTAAGAATCTGTAGACTGCACTTCCCAGTTCCCACCAAGTACTCTGCACTACACGCCTAGAATCTCGATTGTCTCAGGACCCTGCCCGCACGACACTCTGCCCTCCCGGGTGCTCTGCCCTCCCGGTGCTCTGCCCTCCCGGGTGCTCTGCCCTCCCGGCTCTCTTCCCTCCTGGGTGCTCTGCCCTCCCGGCTCTCTGCTCTGCCCGAGCGGTGCTCTGACCAGGCGCTCTCAGCCAGGCTGCCGTTCCCGGTTGGCAGGCACTGTGACGGCTGGCCCGCGACCCCGGCGACAAGGTGTGAGCCTGCACTGCACCCCCCCCCCCCCGGCCACGTCTGGGGGCGCCGGCCGCTCCCCCACATCAGGGCGCCCTCCCCGTGCGGCGCTAGAGGAGCCAACTCCCATACCGCGATGGAAACTCTGATGAGACTGGCATCGGTTTGTCTGCCGGTGGCCGCCGTTTGGAGTTAGTCCGAGCGTGCAGACAGGGATTGTGACGTGCCCCGGTCGTCCCCGCGCCGCCGCCGCTCCCGCCGCCGCCCGGCCGCAGGCCAACAGGCGCGACATGCACGACGCCTCACTGGCTGACCTATGAGCGGGACCGCGTCCGACGTCTCCGGCAAAGCGTCGCTTATCATCAGAGAGAACACGGTCAGCGATAGGAGGATAGTGACGCCTGCAACACAGGGACCGGTCGGGCGGGCGCAGGGACCGATCAGCCGCTCTGCTCGCTGTTCCGCACTCGGCGGCTAACGACCACACTGAAGCGGCCGGCCGGCGGTCACCACACGGGCCGGCCAACAACCATGCGACCTCGGATACTGGAGCGCTAGGGTGGGCTGCGAGAACAGACAGACACAGACAGATAGACAGACAGACAGACAGACGGACGGACGGACGGACGGACGGACGGACGGACGGACGGCAGTCAGCGCCGGTGGTGCAGAGGCTGCGCGCCGCCGTCCGTTCTGTACATACAGAGTACACAGAGGGCGGCCGGCGGAGGGTGGCGGAGGGAGAGCGAGGGTCGACTGGACTACTCGGCGGCACGGCGCCGGCCGTCCCCTGCAGGAGCGTGCTCTGTGGCTGGGGGGGGGGGCTCTCACCACAGCGCGTGCCTCTATCTGCCGCAGGCACTGCATCTGGTGCCGGCCGGCAGACCGGGCGGCGCCCACTCCCAGAGGATTCGGGAGCCCGGGCCGGCACAGAGAGACCCTGGGGCGGGGGATTTCGGCAGGGCCCCGGGTGCCCGCTCCCCTGCCGCCCCTCCCTGTTTACCTATGAGTGGTACTGCGTCCGAGGTAGTTGGCATACTGTCGCTCACCATGTTTAGAAAGACAGTGAGTGATAGCAAAATTGTGACACCTAAAACGGGAAGGAAGACGGCGGGCTTTAGTTAACAGTGCTGCGAATACACGCCCGGGCCGCAGTGCGCTGAGACACGGCTGGTATGGCACAGGTGCTGGTGCTTTCGGAAATGAATGGTCACAAGGTATGGAGCATACATACATGATACGGCTGCGGTACCCAATGCCCGAGGACATTCAGAATCAGGACTAGGCTGAGAAGAAGGCTCGTCAGTGTTGCATGCTTTAAAAAAAAGAAACAAACAGAAAACACGGCATGCAGAGTTGTTTCGCTGTCTATAAAACAGTAGTTGTACAGGCATTATTGGACTTGACGTCAGCGCTGGCGCCGGTTACGAGAACACACGGGCTCTAGTTGTGATTTACGCGGCCGCAGTCACAACATCGAGGCGGGCAATTTAGACTGGGCGGCCACCCCCCGGGCGTCCCAGAGCAGCGGGCCGGCGGCGAGCGTTACCTAGCAGCGGCACCGCCTCTGAGGTCTCTGGCATATTGGCAGCCACTTGGTTGAGGAAAACGGTCAGGGAGAGAAGCACTGTGACGCCTGGTGACAGAACACACGGTTAACGGGCCGGCCGTGACCTGACCCCGGAGCCGTCTCCGCCGCCGGGGTCACAGCAGGGTCAGGGGTCTCTGAACTGAGGGGCACACACGGCGGCTGGCCAACACCAAACGACACTGGCAGGAGATCACCATTGGAAACGAGAACAAGGAGGAAACAAAGTGCACGGAAAGGGACGAACAAAAGACAACTGAATAGAAAATAACCATTCGATAACTAATAAAACGTCGAGATAGACAGATAGATAGACAAACAGATATATGGATAGATAGATAGATAGATGGATAGATAGATAGATAGATAGATAGATAGATAGATAGATAGATAGATAGATAGATAGATAGATAGATAGATAGATAGATAGATAGATAGATAGATAGATAGATAGATAGATAGACAGACAGATAGATAAACTGATGGAATGCTTGTCACTTGTCAATGAGAATGATAAAATTTGGGCACCTATAATACAATCACAACGGTCCATTCCATATGTAAGACAATAGGGATGCGAACGTCCTAAAATGGCCGTTTTTTTCATCATAGACCAATATGGCAGAAAACACAGAAGGATCACAAGCTTATGGCAAAAATAAGTTTATCCACATGGGACATTTTCAGGTATGGGGGGGGGGGGCACATTGCACAAATGCAGCAGTCTGCAGATCCATCATCCGCCCTGCACGGGGGTAATGGGAAGAGACTGAGCACCACACACTCGGGTTCGCTGATGGACAGAAAAAGGAAAGCGCAGTAAAATCAAAAAGGGTATCTTGCTGCCAAGGGCACGTATCAAAAAAGGAAAAAGAAAAGAAAATTAAATTCGAACAAAACTTATAGAAATTAAAAAGCTGCAAACACATGCTGGGACTGAAAAGGCGTATGGCGGGCCTGTTTACGGGGATAGCATGTATGAGTACTGAGTAGTACACAGTTAACAGCATACAGGTGTGTTTAACTATGCATTCATTTACGTACAGTTTTGTTTAACCATGTATTCATTTACGTCTTTCTTCGGAATGAAATGTCTTTGAGAAAGCACGGAAAGTCGATCGGAGTCGAAACCGGTCTGGCCTGATTTGACCGACTAGTTAAAAGATAATCCGGTGTGAAAAGTCTCCACAATGTCTTTTTGCGGAGAACAATCTGGATAACTAATGTGAAGGGCATCGACATACGACAGTAAGCCTGAAACATACATACATAGATTAAACTGGCACATCAACGGAGCAGATGACAGTATTTGGCGTATACGACATATAGCGGCAGGGTGGCGACAGCCAGAGAGAGAGAGAGAGAGAGAGAGAGAGAGAGAGAGAGAGAGAGAGAGAGAGAGAGAGAGAGAGAGAGAGAGAGAGAGAGGGAGGGAGAGAGAGAGAGGGAGAGAGAGGGAGAGAGAGAGAGAGAGAGAGAGAGAGAGAGAGAGAGAGAGAGAGAGAGAGAGAGAGAGAGAGAGAGAGAGAGAGAGAGAGAGAGAGAGAGAGAGAGAGAGAGAGAGAGAGAGAGAGAGAGAGAGAGAGAGAAGAGGAACGTAGCGGGATCGAGATAGGGCTGAGGGCACGGCGAGTCGATGTTTCAGTAGGCCTGCAGAGGCGGTGATAGAACCACAGAAACACACAACCCAGGGGCACTGTGAGAACCAAAGAGCGACACCACGCAGAGGCAGATGAGAACCACAGAAACCAGGGACAGAGAAAGAACCGCAGAGTCATACATCCAGGAGGAGAGTAATAACTAATGAGCCGTATTAACCCTGGACAGTGAGAGCCACACAATCATGATGCTCGGGCACAACGCAAGGACCACAGGACTTCATTACCTGAGGTAGAGTGAGAACTATATGTAGGACCACACCAGCCAGGATTAGGATGAAATTCACGGAAACCAGGAAAAAAAACTATGGAATCACACAACCCAGGGGTAGAGTGTGGCACAAGACAGCAGTGCGTGAGGATCAGAAGGCCAGACAGAGTGGCGGGGGTCACAGACAGTCAGAGAGGCGGGGGTCACAGACAGTGAGAGAGGCGGGGGTCACAGACAGACAGAGAGGCGGGGTCACAGACAGTCAGAGTGGAGTGGGTCACAGATAGTCAGAGAGGCGGGGGTCACAGACAGAGACGCACGGGTCACAGATAGTCGAAGAGTTTTGGACACAGCTGTACCACGGTCTGCCTACCTAGACTAAGTTTCTCGCCCGACGCCGGTGGCAGGGTAAAGACGAGCAGCACCATGCCCGATATGAGGATGCCGGGAAGGACCAGGTTATGCACGTAGTAGAAGGTGCGCCGCTGCAGCTTCACCGTGTACGTGATGCTGCTGTACGGCTCGGAACAACAGGCGTACAGGATCTGGTGGCGCACGCCGGGCAGCCCTGCCGAACAGGTGTACACGTGACGTCATTGGCGATCAGCCGACAGACCCGAGGTGAGCCCGAGCTGAGCCCGAGCCGAGCCCGAGCTGAGCCCGAGCTGAGCCCGAGCTGAGCCCGAGCCGAGACCGAGTCGGGCCCGAGCCGAGCGCAGCCCGAGCTGAGCCCGAGCCGAGACCGAGCGCAGCCCGAGCCCGAGCTGAGCCCGAGCAGAGCGCAACCCAAGCCCGATCCGAACCCGAGCTGAACCCGAGCTGAACCCGAGCTGAGCCCAACCCGAGCCCGAATCAAGCCCGAGCCCGAGCCCGAGCTGAACCCGAAAAGAGCCCAGTCCGAGCCTGAGCTGAGCCCGAGCTGAGTCCAATCCGAGCCCGAGTCAAGCCCGAGCTGAGCCCGAGCTGAGCTGAGGTGAGCTGAGGTGAGGTGCCGCGCCTGGGGTTGCTCGGGGCTGGCCGCCACACAGAGGGGACGGGGAGCAGCGGCGCTACACGGGTTCTACGGCAGGGATTGGGGGAAGCCGTGCAAATTCAAGCGGCGTCAGCGGCCAGACCCATGATTTTGCCCTTTAGGATAGGCATGGCTGAAATTAGTGAGAAGCAAAATTATTCAAAAGCAGTTCTTCATGAACTGAATTTACTTCTGAATCGTAGACTATCTACTTCAATGAACTCAGGGAAGTGAAGCCTGCGACAGTAGCTCCATAAGATAGTTGTTGGGGCACGGCACCTCACCTCCAATGTACGGAGAACAAAAGACGGGTCACGCTAACAGACGACTGTGGAGGCGGCGGCGCGCGGCGCGCCCGTTTACCTAGGCTGAGTTTCTCGCCGCTGTCGGGCGGCAGCGTGAAGCCCAGCACGGCCATGGAGGCGATCAGCACGCACGGTACTATCAGGTTGGAGAAATAGTACAGCGTGCGCCGCCGGATCAGTATCTGGTACGTTATATCAATGTACGGTTGTGGACAACAGGCATACGTGAGCTCGTTTCGAATCCCCGGTACACCTAAAACACAGAGGAGAGAGAAAGCAGGTAGAACACAAAACATGGAGGCACAAAACACCCAGTTAAACAATATTTTAGACACATTTCCAAGTAAGTATGAAGTGGCTTGGAATGATGCTCTTTTAGACACTTTAAGCCATCTTACAAATCTGTGCCCACGCCTTGCTGGGGAGGAGACCGAACTCTCTTTGTTTACTTTTCAGAGAAAGTTGTTAAAATCTGGCACCCAGGCGCCCAATCGTTTCCTCAATTTAACACACACATAATACCGTTTTCGACATGAGCTCCCAATGTCAACATATTTTACTGTGGGAAAACTGACATCAGGCCTTGTAAACGCCAAAAGAGGTATGTTTTTGTCGCTTTGCGTCTATTCATTCAGGAAATGAGGTGCTTTCGTTTGTTCAGAAAATGAGGTTTTATTTGTAAACATTGAAATTTTGAAGAAATGGACATTTGGTGACCTCAAGTTGTCTAATTTCACGTATTTCAGATTACGTTAGGATTCATTTTTGACAGTGTTTGGACTGCCACCTGTTGTTTTTACTCCACAGCCCAGGAGCCGAGTCATACCCTGCCCAATCATTCCGCAGCAAGGCGTGGGAGGACCTTGCTGCCCAGCCCAGCGAGGCGCCGGCTAAGAAAGCCCAGTGACAAACTCACCGATCTATCCACGCCACTTGTGTACAGCAAGTCGTGCTCTTATCGTTCAGCCTCCCATAGCCCTCGGTGGTCCTTCACGGTTAGTTACATGCACTTTAAATGAAACTATGTACATGCAGTATTTATTGCACCACTTTATTCATTATTCTGCTTAGATTTGTATTTTCTTCTTATTTATGTGTTTGAAGAGGATTTTCTATTTATGTGCTACAATTGCTTGACTGTGACATAAAAAATTGAATATTTATTACCATACCATAGATCTCTGAACACTTTTACAGATTTCTATAACCAGGCATGCTAATGTGAATCTCAGCTGCTATTGTTCTGATGTTTGACCTCTCGGCCAAATTGGGAAGCTTTGCTTCAAGTCAAATCTTTGTCCATTGCATTTTCGATTACTAAAGTCACTGGCCATAGGTCGTAAGTTAACTGCTGCATGGTCAAAAATATTGAAAATTTGCAACGCTCTCAGTGTCCATAAATATCTCACAAAAGGACGACACTTTCATTAAGCTTCCAGCCGTTACATCTTTATCTCAAGATATTTTTTGTAATAGAAAACTGAGCTGCCGTCCATTGGCCTTATCCACAATTATACATAAATGGGAAAATATGGAACCTCCTTATTTAGCGCCGGTCGTAACCGAAAACAATCTCGAGCTCGTATTTTTCGTGATTCGACACCCTTCTCGCGATGCTCAATGCTTAATTTTGCATATGCTTAATTTTGCATGGCGCCATATATGTACATATGAGTATGACGCCACTAAGGTCGTTGGAATCATTGGAGGCTTTCTTTTATAAAGAACTCTTAAATCTTAATTGAACTGAGGCAGCGAATTGCAAAAGACACCAAAGGACTCGAATCGAATGATAGGTATGGAGCATGGTCTCCGTCCACCAGCTTACTGACCTCATCGGTTTTGACCTGACCTGACCCAGGGCTGATATTCAAGTTAACCTTCCCAACAAATGGTATGTCAATCGACGCGGAAGTAGTTACATACATGACCAGCGCAATAGCGCTAAAATAATTGTTCCGTGACCAGCTTAAGCGACACTATTTCTCAGTAAATCGGACCATCACTTTTACGCTTTTGACATGACCTCAGAGGTCACCGGTAGACCTGTGACCTTAAAGTGGCAATATTTGCTGTCCTGTATCGATCAGTATGATCCTTTTTGTACAGATCTCGCTAACTCAATAGCGAGACGGAGGGGAGGGGCAGGAAACCGATAGGCCCGGCATGAGTGTCAACAACCTATCGCCATCAAAATGCAATTTCATGCATGGGGTTAATGCGAAAATACTCTCTTGTTATGGTCTAAGGATAAAGTACATTAACGCCGGCTAGGGAAGCGTATCTTTGCTAAAAAAAAAAAACTGTAAACCTTCCTTTATGTATCTATGGTGTGAACTGAATTTTTGACGCCGATTTTAATGTAATCAGCAAATGTATGCATTCTGCCATAGGCGACCGCATTCATGTGAACTACCATCAACTACTTCATACTATGTGTGCTCTAACTAGTCGTCTATGGTGATGCATATAGACTATAGAGGTCTGTGATTCTGTATTATAATGCATTTCCTACCGTGCTAGGTTAGGTTCCTGCTAAAAGGCTCTGCATTCTACATATGTAAGCTTCATCCATTTAGGTTTAAAGCTGATGCGTTTTGTTTGGTTTATTTGATTTTGTGGGTTAAAGTCATATACCTGCATTCACCAAAAAAAATATTTTTTATACACTACAAACATACACATAAAAGAAGAGAGCTTGTGACCGTATAAGAGCACGACTTGTGTACGAACATGTAGACAAGCAGCAGCGCACATTATTCAGCGACATTATTTAATTTTTAATTTATGTGCAACGAAAGGCGAGTAGAGCGCTGCGGCAGCTGAGCAGAGATGTCAATCAGAAACCAAATGTTTGACAGACCGATACTTAAACAATATTGTTTTTGTATTCGTTTCTCCAAGTCTTTAATTTTGCTATAACTTTACCTATCAATGGATACATTAGTTTTTCCCTCGTAGTGGGAATATTTCGTAACTCAAATGTTAATATTCAGTTCTTTTTCATTTTCCCTGTACATTATTTAACTTTTTGTATCTACCATATTTTTAGCTGGTATCGGTTCGGATTTGGTTTGAAATTGGCATCTCTATATAGAACGGAGCGACCCAATCCTCAGTTATTCAATTCAGTCGTCCTAATAGCCGGGGCCACCGTCGGCAGTGTGCCGATAGTGGACACACAGCCGACAGTGTGCCGACAGTGGACACACAGCCGACAGTGTGCCGACAGTGGACACACAGCCGACAGTGTGCCGACAGTGTGAAACACAGTCGACAGTAAGCCGACAGTGCGAAACACAGCCGACAGTGTGCCGACAGTGGACACACAGCCGACAGTGTGTCACTGATGACACACAGCTGACAGTGTGCCGACAGTGGACATACAGCTGACAGTGTGCCGCTGGTGACACACAGCCGACAGTGTGCCGACAGTGTGACACTGGTGACACACAGCCAACAGTGTGCCACCGCTGACAGTGAACACACAGCCGACAGTGTGCCGACAGTGTGACACACAGCCGACAGTGTGCCGACAGTGTGACACACAGCCGACAGTGTGCCCCTGATGACACACAGCCGACAGTGGACACACAGCCGACAGTGTGCCCCTGATGACACACAGCCGGCAGTGGACACACAGCCGACAGTGTGCCGCTGGTGACACACAGCCGATAGTGGACACACAGCCGACAGTAGTCGTGTTTACATAGGGTTCCCTTAATCTTCCCCTATTTCTCCCCTATTTTCAGATCGAATTTTAGGCATCATAGCGCTCGCGTGTAACCTTGCTATGGACGCTATTGTTGTTAGAAGCATACTAAGCATCGTTTATGCTGTAAACAATATAAATTGGGCTTATTTAATACTCGAAATTCAACAATTCATATTTTGAAGTAATTTTATCCTGCCCTTCAATTCCCTCTTTAAGCGACAAATAGGGGAGGATTTGGTAGCGTAGCGCCTTTCCAAAAGCTGCTACGCTACCATATCCAGTGGTTCTCAAACTATCACATCACAAAAGCGGCGTGCTGATTGGCCGGCAGTTCCGAATCGTCCGAATGGTGGTCCCCGACTCGACAAGCGCACGTGCGCTGACTGAGGATTTTTAAGTGGCATTAACGCATAAACGGCAGAAAGTCAAGGCGGAAATTCGACAGGTGCGGTGTTCTGATATTGCCGTGGATGTGATTATACCTACTTGAATAATAGCTTAGCCCTTTTAAGTATGTTAAATGCCAGATAGTTTTCTGATTTTTCTTGCTTTGAGCTTTCATGTGCTATCACTTTTACCTCAGTGTCTGGTCTGGAAGCTATTTGGGAGAGCCCTAAAGGTAAGTAACAATTGCAAACTGCTTCTAGAATGACTTAGTTGCGCCATATTTGTAGTGAAGCGAGGTAAAGGAGACAGAGGATTCCTTTATAAGGGACATTTAAGAGACAAATAGGGGAAGATTAAGGGAACCCTATGTAAACACGGTTAGTGTGCCCCTGATGACACACAGCCGGCAGTGGACACACAGCCGACAGTGTGCCGCTGGTGACACACAGCCGACAGTGGACACACAGCCGACAGTGTGCCCCTGATGACACACAGTCGACACTGTGCCGCTGCTGACACACAGCCGACAGTGTGCCACTGCTGACCGGCCCGGACCGTCCCCGCGTGCCGGCGCTCGGCCCGGGGTGGCCAGCCCGGGCGGCGCGGCGGAACACATACCCAGCAGCGTCCACTCGCCGTTCGGTAGAAAACTGCTGGCGTCGCCCTCCTCAGACGGCAGGATCAGATCCAGCTGAAACACGTGACAGCCGAAACGGAGACGATGGTCAGAGGCTGAGACAACACGTCGAAACAATTGCTGGTCAGAGGCTGGGAAACACATAGCAATCACAACGGAGGCGCTGCTTAGAGCCTACTGTGAATGCTGAAGTTAGTTCACACCTCCGTAAGTGGGAGGTAACGATGCAATAGATGCTGCTAGAGGGCACATTACCTGCATATGGACCATGTAATAACATTTACATAAGCCAGCATGAAGCGAAGGGGAGCGCTGGGCCTCGTACCTGCCATCCGTCGTAAGTCCAGGAGCCGAACTTGAGGTTGCACTCCTGGTCGTCGAACGGGAACCAGGTGATGTCGATCTTGCAGGTGGACTTGAAGATGCCCGGCGGCACGTACAGACAGCTGCCGTTGTTTTTCACCACCACGTTTGTGTGGTACGTGCCGTCAAACTTCTCGTCGGCGCTGCAACACAGAGTGCGGTGTCGGCTGGGACCAGGACGAGCAAACTACTCGTACTGGCGTGGGAGGGTTCGGTGCACGTGTGCGGGGTTTGTTGTGCGTTTGTATGTGAGGTGTTTGCTAGGCGTGCTCAAAGTCACTCAGAGTCACTCAGAGCTCGGGAGAGTCGGCACTACGGTGCAGAGAGCGGGGAGCGGTCCGGTGCAGAGCGGGGAGCGATCCGGCACAGAGCGGGGAGGGGTCGGTACAGAGCGGGGAGGGGTCCGATGCAGAGCGGGGAGGGGTCGGTACAGAGCGGGGAGGGGTCGGTACAGAGCGGGGAGGGGTCCGGTACAGAGCGGGGAGGGGTCCGGTGCAGAGCGGGGAGGGGTCGGTACAGAGCGGGGAGGGGTCCGATGCAGAGCGGGGAGGGGTCGGTACAGAGCGGGGAGGGGTTCGGTGCAGAGCGGGGAGCGGTACGGCCCGGAGCGGGAGGGGCGGAACGGTGCCCTCAGATATCTGCCCAGCCAATAACTGACTCTTAACAGCTACGCGGAACGACAGCGAACGGCCCAAAGTGCAAATGAAATGGCCACCACACCTCTCGGTTTAATGGTCTCCGCTGACACGGCTCCGATGCGATTCGAACCGAGACCAGTGCAGGGCCTCGTCTAAGGAATTTTCACTGGGGGGGCAGAGACTGAAGGAGCCAAACCTAGGGTACCCCCAAATCCTGTTTTCTCACCGGATTTAGGCCACTTGTTTTTCGTCACAGCCCTGAGAACATGATTTTTTTAACAAAAGAAAACAAAACAAAAATCAAAATAGGCGATCTGCGCCATACGGTAACCCTCGCCCGTATGCATAGCAGAAGGGTGCGGGGGGGGGGGGGGGAGGGTCGAACGGACTCCTCTCGGTTTTTCGCAAATAAGTCGCGCAAAAAGCGACCGATCGCGACACAACTTTCAGTACCCTCGCGTTTATCAATTTCACACCAACTCTGAAACTTTCATGACCCTGACCCAAATGACCTTTGACCTGTGAGTTACTTTTCGAGACCAGGTTTATCCGGAATCGCAATTCGGCCTACGTCGGCTCGCATTAGCCGAGCGTTTGCAGTCTTTTCGTGGTTTCAAGCGTTTAAACATGGAATATGATGTTGCTCCCATGCATTAGGGTGGGTGTCAAGGTCTCCGAAAGGTCAGGTCAGGTCATTGACCTTTGATGACCTCGGTTCACTTTTTCGAGTTTAACACGCTTTTAGACTAGTTTTTGGAGCTGATTTCGAATTTAGCAGCCATTTGAACAATTACGTAGAAGTTTTGGTGCCTTCGCAACATGTTACGAAGCTGTCAGAGGTGTTTGCCACCTACTACGAATAACCGGCAAAATCCTTACTGGTTGATCTGACCTGATCTGACCCGACCTGGCCTTAATGCATGGAGACATTATCTATTATCATAACTAACATGGTATCCGTGATCAGCACCCCGAAAAAACCATAACAGCCACCCTTTACGACGTTCTAACAGGTCCCGATTTCCCCGACTTTTAGGTCATTGACCTGACCTGGAAGGTCAGTTGATGACTAAGGATCTTGAAATTGGGTATCATCGTTTTCCTCTCGTCACGGGCAACACGGTCGTTTGTTCCGCGAAGTTCTAGCTCGATCAGGGGCGAAACAGCAAGGGGGTCCAACGCCCCCCCCCCCCCCTTATACGTTCGCGACTGGAAAAACGCCAATACCGGCGAGGGTTAACATTAGTGTGCTACCCCTTCACATTGACCCACCAGACAGTGATAAACATAGGTACTATCCGTGTTGGGCGTTTCATTGAGTTTGTATGTTTGTGGGGGGGGGGGAGGGGAGGCAAACACGAGCTGGGTTGCTGGCCAGCTGACATTTTATGATTTACTACTCGGCGCTCTCTGGGCCCTGTTTCACGGCACGCCCCTTCACTTCGCTTCAGCGCGCTTCACTGAAGCGGTGAGGTAGTAAACGGAACCTCCGTCCTCCGATGCTAAGGTATGACCTCATCACAAAACAACAGCGTGTTGTATTATATTGCTTGCAGTATTGCTTCGCATTGAGATATGTCGCGGAATACAAACATAAAATGTAACAGCCATATTTCTGATTTCAATGCGAAACAATACCTACTGCAAGCAATATAATACAGCGTGCTGGCGTTTAGTGATGACGTCTTACCTTAGCATCGGAAGTTCCGTTTAACTCGCCGCTTCAGTGAAGCGCGCTGAAGCGGAGTGAACGGCGTGCCGTGAAACAGGGCACAGCTCTGAAAATCACAAAACCCTATCTTTTCCCGTAGCCATGAACACTGAACAGTTATTGAACAAAACATTTAATGTTTCTCGTTAAATCCATGTAAGATTCCTAACAAAAACGTATTGCGGAGAAGGTAATTTTGTGAGAAGTTAACGTTTTGACTGGGGGGGCAAATGTTGGCCACTGGGGGGGCAATCCGCTCCACTGGGGAGGCAATTGCCCCCCCAGTTAACATGTTAGACGAGGCCCTGGACCAGTGGCCGCAGTGCTCGTTCTGGCGAATATTGTGGCACAGGCTAATTCAAAACTTGTGTATAGGTGAACGCCAATTTCAAGAACAATGGGAAACAGATACCAAACCGATACTACCGAAGAATACTGAAAACTGCTAAAGATCAAACCACTTTATTTTAAACATTACGCTCCAGATCTGCCATTTAAGTCAAGGTACTTTACCACTCCGTTCTTTGATCATTTTTTCTGTGATGAGACGGGCGATATTTTACAATATAATGGCCATTCGAACTGTGTTATCAGCAGAGCGGTGTCGAGTGTCGACTTTCCAACAGCGACCTGCAGTATGCTGCGCAATTCGCATGGACCTTCGTCGTGCATCGCACAATGCACAAAACAAACTGTGCTCCGCCGTCCGGCGGTATCGGAATACCCGCGCCGGAGGCCCCATAGCCGAGGGCGTCCCGAGCCGAGCTGCAGCCGACCGGCAGCCGTCATCGGCGACCGATCGGCGTCGGCTCACTGGGTCCGGGCGCTCCGTTTGCTCGGAACAAACAGCCGCTGGGCGAGATACAGTCAATGGTGGCTGGCCAGAGGCGCCGGCGGTGGCAGGCCAGCGGTAGCGGTGGCCCGCCGGGCGAGATACAGTCGATGGTGGCCGGTAGCGCTGGCGGCCGAGCAGGCGCGCCGTCGGCAGCCTCACTGCACCGGTAAGGAGCGCGGCCTGACTGCAGACCGACGCAGCCCGACTGGTGGTCAGGTCCCGGCCGCTGCGCTGGCTTCTTTGTCGACTCGACACAGGGACAGATTGTGCTGTGTCTTTTGTGCGACTTGGTGACGGCTGGGCGCCGGGCGAGGGGGACTCCATACCGGCCGGCGCTGAGCGAGAGGGGTGCGGGGGAACTCCATACAGACCAGCGCTGGGCTCATTAGTTTGTGTTTGCCACCGGTTGGTAGCACACTGCCTTTGCTTTGGTCCCGGGCGCGTAGCCACTATGAACAGACAGCACGGGGCCATGAGCAGTGAGGTACGAGCCCTGTCAGAAACGCGGCATTGAACGCTACGAAAGGGACACCCTCCCCTTCACAGTCCTTGAGTCTACTTTACAGTCCCCTTTCAAGTCCTTTACATGCCGGGGTGCTTCGAATTTCGCCTCGGTAGGTAGTGTTTTGCAGTACTTCGTTTCTGACAAGATTGTAAGCGGTAGAAGCAGCCTTAATTAACGGCGAAAGGTATTTGTATTTGTCCCTGCTGCCCACTGGATTGGCTTGAGGCCACATACACATTGCAGGGCGTAATGACAAATACCGACACATAGCGGAGGGGTGGGCTGTTAGCTAGCTGGCCAGCGGATGGTTGGACTGCTAGCTAACTGGCCAGCGGAGTGTTGGACTGCTAGCTAACGGGCCAGAAGGGGGTGGATTGATAACTAGCGGGTCAGCAGAAGGTGGACTGCTAACTATCGGACCAGCGAGCTGCTAACTAGCGGATCGGCCGCTGCACGGGGAGGTGAGTGGTGGCTGGAATCGATCCGTTTACTGAGCACACTGGTTTGGTTTCAGTGCCGTCTCTATCACTATTGCCACTGATGGTCGTTGTAAATGGCCGGAGGGGACGGACTGATGGACCAGAAAACCAGCGCAATACTTTGCCCCCAGGCCACCTACCGAGGGACGGGAGCTGGGGGTTTGACGCCCCTCTACTTCGACCCCCGAGGGCCACCTAAGGAGGCGCGGGAGAGGGTCATTCACGCCCCTCTCTTCAATTCAACCCCCCTCCCCCACCACCACCACCGCGCACCACCTACTAAGGAGCGAAGAAGCTGCTACATTACCACCCTTTCCTTTCTCGAGTAATTGGAATACGGCTGCCCAAAGGACAGTTGAGTTTATTCAATTGGCTAAAAATGGGAAGGGTCACAAAATGTACCCGTCTGTGGGTACTTACAATCGGGTGATGAAATATAACAAGACAGATCCAACAGTTACCGGTGCCTCAGCACTGGCAGCAGCCGCCAGGCACCGGTAGACTGTGCCGCCTGGCATAAGTGTTCAGCGGCACAGTCTATCCACGCAGTGTGACAGCGGCCCTGGTCGGCGATTAGAGTGACGCTGCGCGAGCCGGGCCTACACTGCCGGTGGCCCGGTTGGGTAGCAGATGGGTAGGTAATTCAATAGAGGCAAAGGCCGTATGGCTACTGGGTAGTGCTACGCCTATCATCTGCGGAGGTTCTGCGGGCGGCGGGCGGCGGGCGGCGGGCGGCGGGCGGCGGCGGACAGCGCCGAGATGAGGTTCTGCGGGCGGCGGACAGCGCCGGGCGACGCTGGGGCTCACCTGTTGTAGAGTAGCACATCGGGCTTCCAGATCCGGTGCGGGGGTATCCGCAGGTCCTGTACGTTCCCGAACTCGGACTTGTTCCACCTGAGGTTAACGTCATTCCACTCCTGAAGTAGCCGGACACCGAACGTCAGCTGATGTGGGCCGATCCAGCCGGGACCACCTGGCTCCCAGCTTACTGCATGACTGTCATATGCTGCCGATTGCCGCATTGCATTGGCAAACTATGACTGTTAGGCAATGACTTCACAAATTAATGCTCTCTTTTAGAATATTTGTCCTTTTTGCTCACCTAATCGTAAGGACTGAGCCATGGATAGCACACAGTCAAATATAATGAGCTGGGTGCTGTATCTAACTGGGTAAGCACCCGATCATCTTGAAGCTTTGAAAGCACATAACATATGATCGCAAGAAATTATACTGCCCCGAAGAAGTCATCCTCATGCTGAGATCCCGCCCTTATAGTGAGACGCTATTCCAAAGATTTGTTGGGAAATAACTTTTGCAACTATGCTGTGTTTGGCGAAAAGGCAGCTCTTTGCACCGATGCCGAATAAATTTACATTTGTTCGATCAAATATCATAAGGCCACTAAATAACACATGTTCTCTAGCGACAGAATGCAAGAGACACAACCATGCAGCAAGCAGTCTGAGTGGAAAAAAACAGTGATCAGATGGGCCTCACTGCCCTCATACGCTTCACTCTGTCAGTTAAATGCTTATTGTGTGAGCATTGATAATAAAACTCTGCAGACGAAAAAGGCATGTATACGCTGCATTGTTGCCTCTGCTACAAAATACCCATAGTGAGACATCAAAATAATTGGCACGTCAGTACCGTTGAATACTTTAATGAAACCGCGAGGAATGAAACTGCCACCATTTGATGATTGTGGGGACCTTGTACCTACTCGTAATTTCAAAAGTCAGTCATCAACCAGTCTAAATGTTAACGATGATATCGAACTTATAGGTGTAGCACTGCTGTTCTATTGAGCGTACTTATATTAGTAAGGCACTTTGTACGGTTTCCAGAGCAGAAGGTGATTCGCTACTTTGACCGGGTCCCTCAACTGGCCAACCCAAAAGCGTCCGTGATCAGCCGGAGCGGCACAGAAGTCCAGAACAGGCGCTACCGAAACATGGATCAGCTGGCGTGCACACTGCACAGTGATTCTCGTCGACAAGGACTACAGAGAACTAAGGGGCCAAAGCAGACACAGGCAGGCTTGCAAACTTTCCGATACACACTGCATGCCGCGAGCTCCCCCCCCCCCCCGTGCCTGTCTATGTGAGCGTTATCGTTAGAAGGTCGCGCCATAAGGTCTCCCCCGGTAGAGCCAGCGGCAGTGGAATGCTGCAGTTTTTTTCGCTAATGAAAACTGATTCTGAAGTCTGAATGAAGCGTTTGATCAAGCTTATTTGTCACAAAATATTGACAAATAAGTGTCAAACATCTATACTAGGCCTTTCGCCCACCAGAGGAGTATGGCCCCGACCTTGTCTATTTAGATTCATGCATCAACTTACCAAGTTTAACCAAATATTCGTAATTAGAAGTTGGTTCTTCTCATCCTACGGTCAGAGACAGCCAGTGTCAATGCAAGATAAACACCCGCACACTATATCGGCCTGTCAGGGGCAGGAGGTCGGTGACAGGTCGCTGGGCTGTGGAAAACGGCCAGTTTAGGGCGCTGGGCTGCCGAAAACGGCCAGTTTAGGGCGCTGGGCTGTGGAAAAGGGCCAGTTTAGGGCGCTGGGCTGCGGAAAACGGCCAGTTTAGGGCGCTGGGCTGCGGAAAAGGGCCAGGTTAGGGCGCTGGACTGCGGAAAACGGCCAGTTTAGGGCGCTGGGCTGCCGAAAACGGCCAGTTTAGGGCGCTGGGCTGCGGAAAAGGGCCAGTTTAGGGCGCTGGGCTACCGAAAACGGCCAGTTTAGGGAGCTGGGCTGCGGAAAAGGGCCAGTTTAGGGCGTTGGCTGCGGAAAACGGCCAGTTTAGGGCGCTGGGCTGCCGAAAACGGCCAGTTTAGGGCGCTGGGCTGCGGAAAAGGGCCAGTTTAGGGCGCTGGGCTGCAGAAAAGGGCCAGCTTAGGGCGATGGGCTGCGGAAAAGGGCCAGCATGGGAGTTGGGCTAATGTAAAGTAAGACCTGTTAGAGGTGCTGGCCTATGATGCGGTAAAGAATGACTAGCGCTTACGGGATGGGGTTTGGAGGTTGGGTGACTTGTATATGGCAAGCGGCCGCTGATTGGCGGAAGGAGCCCCGCCCCGGCGCTGCGGGGTTCGGCCGTGGCCGCTGCTGTCCCGCCGGACAGCGCCGGATAGCACCACTTGCTGCTGCAGTCGCCGACCGCTGCAGATCCAACATCTCCGGTATAATCCGCAGCGGCCGGCACGGAGCAGCTCCCAGCGCGCCCCCGTGCCGGCGCCCAGGGGCGGCACGCGGGCATCCGGGGCACTCCTCCGGCGCCCCGGTGCGGACAGCGGTGCGGAAGTTTCCGCCTGCCGGGCGGAGTGGCGCGCGCGCTCAGCTCAGTCCGCACGCCCAGATTGTCTCCCAAATCCGCCGGCCTTTCTCGGTCGTCATGAATAAATACTGATCGGAATCTCCACTGAGCAGCGGACCGAAGGAGGCCGCGGCACACTGATTGGATTCCGTTCAGAGAACAGCGACCTGGCATCACGAGCTCCTCCGTAAATTTTGCAGGGATATGTGGATCTGGAAAATACTGAGATTTCTGCCCCACTGTGCAGGTGGCAGGATTTCGATTCACCCGTCTCACGGCATGTCATATTTCGATGCTACTGAGGAACATGTTGTTTCAAGCGCAGTTCATGGACTGGGAACCTTTCAAGCAAACTCTTGTGAGCTTGATATTTTTGATCAGAAGACATAGTTAATTTCGTAATTCATTTCACATTTAATCCGTGATTTCTTAGCCTAAGTAGCTTTTTTTCTCCAGAAATATTGTGTGGTTTAGATAAGGATTTTAAAACTATCTACAAAAACTGCCACGTGACCAATGACGAGCGTGCCGGACGGCTCAGTCCATCTGGCCGGGCGGAGCTGGGAGTGACAAGCAGCGGGGAAGGGCCGAGCTGCAGAAATGTCGGCCGGCCGCCGCCTCTGCGGAGATCGATCACAGACGCCGCCGGCCGCCAAAGGTCGACCATCATCTGCGGCCGGCGGGCCGGGGTGTGGGCGTGCAGCAGACCGGCTCTGGTGGGCAGTCGCTGCTGTCGCCAGAGACTCGGCAGTCGCCAGAAGCTGCCCCGCGGCCGGCCGAGACGGTCGACACGGCCAGAAGAGAGCGATGGACGGCGGTATAGCGGACACGTGATGACGGTGGCGACAGGCCGACGGGACCGACACCACGGCCGAGGATGGATGGATGACTCAGAGATCAGCGGGTAGCTGAACGCCGGCTGTCAGCGCCAGGGGAGGAGGGCTGATCGGAGCTGGTAGCTGACCCGGGGGCTGTCGAATCAGGATGGCTATGAGTTCCCGAGTATGAAACCATTTTATGGCAATGCGGTACACCCCGGGGCGTTGGAGGATATTGAGGATAGCGGGAGATAGCGGTCCAAGCCGCTGAGGATAATGGTCTGAGGACATTGCAGGATGGCGGTCCAAGCCGCTGAGGATAGGTAACGGGGGAAAGCGGTCCAACCCGCTGAGGATAGCGGGAGATAGCGGTCTGCGTCCCTGAGAATAGCGGGGGATAGCGGTCCGAGCCGCTGAGGATAATGGTCTGAGGACATTGCAAGATAGCGGTCCGAGCCGCCGAGGATAGCGTGGGATAGCGGTCCAAGCCGCTGAGGATAGCGGGGGATAGCGGGAGATGGCGGAGATAGCGGTCCGAGGAGCCAGTGAGGACAGGGATAGATCGTCGACAAACGCTCTCAGTGAGCGGCGACTGAGCACAATCGGCCCGCGCCGGTCAGTACGGCGCGGGGAGGCGTGCGGTGCTGGAGGTGAGCGTGGCCAGTGCGGGAGGCACCGCCCCTCCGCCGCGCACTTACCATGTTCAGCCACACATTGGAGGTCAGAATCTGGTTTCTTTCATCCTAAAACGCATTTGGTGGCACGTCAGACATTGGTGGAGATGTGGCGGTGAGATGAAGGGCTTGTTTAAAGGTGCTGAACTTGACTATGGATGGGGAGAGAGAGAGAGAGAGAGAGACAGAGAGAGAGAGAGAGAGAGAGAGAGAGAGAGAGAGAGAGAGAGAGAGGGAGGGAGAGAGAGAGAAGGAAAGAAAAAAGGGAAAGAGAGAACAGGTGGAAGAAAAGAGCTTTCGTAGATTACGTACATGTTATTGGGGTTGGTTTGATTGAAATAATGCTCGAGGAAAATTATGAAGTATATTTGTTACAGGCAATGTGTGGAATCAGGCATTCCATAGAATGCCTAGGCATTCTATAGAATGGCTGACCGACCAGGCATTCTATAGAATCCCTAGGTATTCTATAGAATCCCTGACTGCTTAGGCATTCTATAGAATGCCTGGCTTAAGCTCCCAGGCATTCTATAGAATGCCTAAGTATTTTGATTGTCCGAAACACACTTCGAAAATTAGGGGTCAGTGGCAGTAATGCTATTTGTTTACCTAATTTTCATTGTTGGCCTAGGCCGGTCGTCACCTCACACCATTTCAGGGCAATGAGCTGAGAGGAAGCAAGGGAGGTATTGGGCTATGCCGACCACCAAATGGTGCGCCGCAAGCAGCAGCTGATCCAATTCCGTTGGCACGGGAGAGCCACGGCGCAAGGCATGCGGGAGAGTCACAGGCCAACCAGTCGCTTAAACGGTTACCCTCGGAGGATTATGCTGCTACAGATACGAAGCTGCATTAGAAGAGTGTTGGCTGGGAGGGTGGACCGTAGGCTTGAATCGAAAGTGATTGCGAATGACGATGGTTTTGTTCTGATGTTAGAAATGAAGGTGAAAAATACACCAAAGGTCACATTTTATGTCGTCATAAGCACTTCGTGTAACGACTCTCAATATACATACATGGACAGCTCAACATACACCGTAATGTCAGGGAATAACCTGAATAAATGGTTCATTATTCCACGTCTGGGCGGTGGCCCGGCCGTAACGAGAGCCGGATTAGGTGTTGTTCGATCTCCCCTTCCAGCTTGACTTCTGGGCCATGCGGTATTCGAAAGGTCGTCAAAGACTCAAAATTATGAAATTGTACTTCAGTTCTTCTTTGGCAATGTTCGAAAGGGTGCCATTTCTAAAACAAATAGCTAAGCCATTTTTTTAGGTCAGCCCAATTTTTGTCCATTTTTGGCTCGTAGCCGTTTTCTTCAGTTTGACCTTAAATCAATTCCTTAGAAGGCAAACACCTCCAAAAATGGACAATTTGTCTTTTTTTTTTCTGTGTAATTTTTTCTTTACCAAAGGCGTTTCCGATATTGACATTACCACCATCGTCTTTCTAGCGTTAAGATAAATACTCTGTACTCTCAGAATGAAATCCTGATACAATCCATATTACTATTTGAGGAGGGTGCGTCTGTCCGTTACCGAGGTCCCGACTTGGTGGTGCTTTGCGTGGACTACAGGCCAGACCGTTGCACCTAGCGCGCTGAAATTTGCACAACTTATAGATCAAGGATGCGCGACGTGCCTTTGAGGGGTCTCAGCTCGATCGGGTCGACAGTGAGCGCGTGGCGCGTGCTCAAAAAGTGCAAATTCGCGTCATAGACTTTACGTGTATAAATCGGCGTGCGAAATCAGGCGAAAACGGCTAATTTTGGCCGACACGGGTCCGGTCCCGGCGCAATATCTTGGTGACCAGGGGTCCGGCCGGCACGGGGAAAACAGCATCGTGTAGATAATTGAATCGGCAATTGAATGGTGTGCGATACAGAGTATAGCACGCGCCACGTGCACCGGGGAGGGCACTTTTTTTTGGAAAAATTGCGGTTTTTGACGGATTTTGGAATTGATTTTATCTTTAGGTGACCGTTAAATGGAGCGAGTTGAAACAACGCCTGTTGGCAAGAGAAATGTACCGCCTTTCATGGGAAGATTGTGAATAGCTAATTTATCGACGCCAAGGTGGTACAAATCGCTGGAGAAAATGTTGTTTGTCGATGTTTCGCTACTTTATTATTCACACGGATTTTGCTCAATGATCTGATATCTCTGGCAATTAAAAATGGCACCGTTGGAAAGAGCATTCAATTCTGTCCAAGGTTCAGTCTTCATTTTTGCATGATGATCAAAAGTATTCTTAAAAATGTAAATGTTCCAAACCATTACATTGTCATTTTTAGCGAAATTCATCGATGGCCCTCAAAAGACTTCACGCCAGTTTTCGACTTATTCTAAAGTGAACGCATGATAATACGACACGGGCACCTCGATGCGATGTATCATTTTTGTTTTATTACAAAATGCTTGGCCGTCAAAAAGCAATCGAAGGAAATGGATACCAACCAAATCGACACAGACCAACCCAATACCCACGGGTAAAACATAACCCTTCTTCGCGTTGCGGAGCACGCGGGTAACCCTAGTTTGACCTAATAAGGTCAGATTGAATACCTGACCGGAAAATTTGACTGAATGAACATTTGTGATTTGACTGAATGAACATAAATAGCTGAACGCAAGGTAGCCTGGCAGAAAATAATAATGTTATATGTCGGTCTGTGCTCATAATCTTATACAACATACACTTATATGTTGGAAAGATTCGTGTATTTCCTAGGCATTCTATAGAATGCCTGAAAATCAGGCATTCTTTAGAATGCCTAGGGATTCTATAGAATCCCTGGTGGGTCAGGCATTCTATAGAATACCTAGGGATTCTATAGAATGCCTGGTCGGTCAGGCATTCTATAGAATGCCTAGGCATTCTATAGAATGCCTGATTCCACACATTGCCTGTAACATATTCATTGTTTCTTTTATTCACTAGTTAATTGTAATAAGCATAGAAAAATCAGAGTGACCTACATACACGGCTGATAGTTGAAAATTGATGAATGCGACGTTTCGAAGTTTCATTCGGCTCTCATTATCCGCAGATTTGATGTATACAATCTACATGTCTTCTATTACCAAACTTATAAATGGAGTCCCTTTTTTATAAACACGTAAACGTTCAAGTAGGCAGCAGCAGATACAAATTATACAGAAACATGCGATGCTGGATAATAAAATACCTACCTATGCTAATTAAGATTTATGAAGATCGATATCACAGTAGGTATACTTGATCGAAATCAAATCGAATGATTTCGGAACCATGTGTTTAATGTTGTTGAGCGCTTGTGCGAGGAACATTAGTAAAAGCAGTTTTAGTATCATATGACCTTTCCTCGTAAAATATAAATTAGCAAAAAGTTCTGTCTTTTGTTAACAATTCCGACGAAGATCTGTGATCGAAATATCAATATCAATATATCCTTTTTGCTAATTTATATTTTACGAGGAAAGGTCATATGATACTAAAACTGATTTCGGAACCAGATCGAAATCATTAAAAGTGAATCGCACAATGATTTACAACATAATCTTTTTCAGGCACGAACAAAATCAAATGTTTTGCAAAAATAGTGGTCGTAGGTAATCGTCACATTTGGACTTCACGGCTACGTGCAGTGAATGACGATGGCTGAAAGATGGTTTACTGTGGCTTGTTGTGGGGATCAGTCGATTTAACGCGCACGAGTAAAGTTATCACTGCACGAGAGCAGTGAATAAAATCAATGGTTTGGGAGATTGGGAGCAGCGAGTGCGAGGGTTGAGTGGATTGGTAGCTGGATTGGTTGTCATTTTTATTGGTGAGCAATATAGCACTTTTTATATACTTCCACACCTTTTATCTCACAAGCTATTTCGGCCCTATTTTCAGTTTAATTATGTCGGATCTTGATTTGCGCTTAATACCAGAGTTTAGTGGTGATTCTAAAACATCTGTAACTGAGTGGATAGAAAAAGTGGAGCTAGTATGCAGGCTGAGAGGGATTCACGAGCTTGAGGAAGTTATACCTCTTCGACTGACGGGGGGAGCATTTGCAGTGTATCAGCAGATCCCTGAAGGAGATAAAGAAGATGTCGTTAAAATAAAGGAGGCACTCACAGCAGCATTTGCGCACGATTCGTTCGTGGCCTACGAGAAGTTCGTCTCGCGGAAGCTTTTACCATCGGAGACACCGGATGTCTTTCTTGCTGAGCTGAAACGTCTGTCCGCATTATTTGGCGGAATCAGTGAGCGCGGGTTAGTATGTGCGTTCATCTCTGGTCTCCCGGCATCGGTGCGACAGGTTCTACGTACCGGCTGTCGCATAGAGTCTATGCGAATTGATGATCTGCTGGTGCGTGCTCGTGCTGTCTTGGCGGACACGAATGCGTTCGCTGTCAAGGCGCAGTCCTATGCAGCAATCACATCACCGCCACCAGTCGTAGCCGACGAATGCTGCGGTGGAGTTGGAGCGCGATATGAGAGACGCTGCTTCAACTGCAATGGAGCAAACCATCTCGCCAGAGACTGTCTCCTCAAGAGGACGGGCACAGAGAAGCGCACCGATGTCAAGTGCTTCAGGTGTGGTGGTCCGCACTTCCGCCGCCAGTGTCCGGAAAACGCCGTGGGAGAGCAGTCAGCGCCAGCCTTCTCTCCGACTGTCCAAAAATAGAGGCGCTGCCTTGCACAGAAGTGTCGGTTGATGGTACTCGAGTTCTTGCACTGGTTGATTCTGGGTGCAGTCTGTGCATCTGTCACGAGTCTGTTTGTCGGCAGTGGCGGAGAAGAAACATATACCTGAAGGCAATAAATGGTCAGATGATGCGGTGTGCTGGAGAAGGCACGGTGCGGATTCGAGCGCCCGAGGTAACCGAGGTCGAAGTTCATGCTCTCGTAGTAAAGGATAAGCCTCTGGGATTTCATTTCATTTTGGGCATGAACGCGATCACTGCAATGGGAGGGGTGCAGATCAGCAGTTCAGACGCTGTCAGGTTTGGACCAGCAGCGGTGGTGGATGATGCTGTGGGTGCAGCAGTAAGTGAGGAGACAAGTTCAGATTCTGTCAGGTTTGAATCAGCAGCTGTGGTGGGTGACACCTACTCGTTGTCTGTGGGTGCAACAGCGAGTGAAGAGAAGAGATCTGAGTCAGAACAAAAGGAACAACAGTCTGAGCCAGCCGCAGGAAAGGATCTTGCTGCTCCGTCAGGCGTGATGCCGGTTGTTTTTCACGAAAGAACCGTATACTCACCTGAGTCATTGTGTATCGACGAGAAAGACTACAGGATTGTTTTTGATTCGGGCACAAAGACTTGGATGGTTGAGTGGAAGTGGACGGAGCGAGGAGAGCCAGACACACTGAAAAACAGAGTCGCGTCTTATACTGTGCCGGAAGATCGTCGGGCTGAGTATGAAGAGGAGCTACAAAGATGGGTGGATAAAGACTGGCTCATTCCGTACGATCAGACAGAGCACGGGCAACCAGAGGGACTGATACCGCTGATGGCGGTGCTGCAGGAGCGCAAGAAAAAAGTGAGGCCCGTATTGGATTATCGAGAGCTGAATGAACATCTAGATACTCACACGGCTGATGCAGACGTATGCACTGAGAAAATGAGACAATGGCGGAAAATGGGAGTCAATGTCGCGGCTGTGGATTTGAAATCAGCCTATCTGCAAATTCATGTTCATCCGTCCCTGTGGAAGTATCAGACCGTGATATTCAGGGGCAAGAGATGGGCTCTATCGCGACTCGGGTTTGGAATGAACATATCACCGTCAGTGATGAAGTCGGTGCTGAGCACGGTCCTGTCACTCGATCCAGAGGTGAAGAAGGGGACCAGCAGCTACGTGGACAACATTCTCGTGAATGAGGATGTTGTGTCGGCAGACAGCGTCCGTGAACATCTTTCAAAGTTCGGCCTCGTGGCAAAGGAGCCAGAGCGCGCGCGTGATGGAGCCAAGCTCCTGGGTCTGTCTATCCACGGAGAAGGCGGCGAGCTACAGTGGAGGAGAGGAGATGACAGCCATGACGTCCCCGACGAGCTAACGCGGCGCTCTGTGTTCTCCCTGTGTGGAAAGCTCGTGGGACACTTCCCGGTCTGCAGCTGGCTGAGACCAGCGGTGGCGTTCATCAAGCGCCGAGCGAACTCAGTGACGGAGAGCTGGGATGATCAGGTTCGCTGTGAGCACGTGCGAAACTTCCTGGTGGAGGTCACAGAGAGAGTGCGGCAATCGGATCCGGTTCGTGGCCGCTGGGACGTTTGCGGCGATGATGAAGCCCATCTATGGGTGGATGCCAGCTCAGTAGCCATCGGTGTGGCGCTGGAAGTTGGCGGTTCAGTCATTGAAGATGGTGCGTGGCTTCGTACCAGTGACGTGACGCACATCAATATGGCGGAACTTGATGCGGTCGTGAAAGGCCTTAACTTGGCACTGGCTTGGGGCTTTCAAAAGATCACCCTCTACACGGATTCTGCAACTGTGCATCGGTGGATTTCGGACGGCCTCAGTGGTAAAACAAGACTCCGAACGAAGGCAGCAAGCGAAATGCTGATTCGACGCCGAGTGGAGATAGTTACGTCGCTTGTGAAGGAATACCAGTTGCAGCTGTCAGTTGAACTGGTGCAATCTGAAGCGAACAAAGCTGATGTCCTGACGCGCGTACCACACCGCTGGCTTCGAGCCCTGGCAGAAGGAGAAGATGAGGCGCCTCCTGCATGCGGACTGGCTGTCGAGACCGGTACGGATGCCATAGGCTACCTGATCGCTCGTGTGCATCACGAATGGGGCCATCCAGGCATTCGTCGCACGCATTACTTTGCACGCCTTGAAAATTCGAACGTCACCAGAAAAGAGGTGCAGAAGGTCGTCGCAGACTGTCAAATTTGTCGGTCTATCGACCCCGCCCCCGTAAAGTGGAGGTCAGGCAAACTTGAGGTGGACACAACGTGGTCAAGATTGGCGATTGACGTAACGCACGTCCGCGGGCGACCCTATCTCACGGCGGTGGACTGTGGACCAAGCCGGTTCGCAATATGGCAGCCACTGAGTGCAGAGACGGCTGAGGCTGTTGCAGAGCAGCTTGATGTGCTGTTTGTGGATCGAGGCCCACCGGCTGAGGTGCTGGTAGACAATGCGACAACCTTTCGCAGTCGATGCTTCGCCCAGTTCGCATCACAATGGGGCGTCACAGTGCGATACCGCTGTGCATATGTTCCATCTGGAAATGGAATAGTGGAAAGAAACCATCGCACGGTCAAAGTCATCGCTGCTAGAAAAGGATGCAGTGTTTTGGAGGCGGTTGACATTTATAACGCAACCCCACGGCACCTGAACGACGCCCAGTCCACTCCTGCGGGTATCTTGAGCAGCTGCGTCCAGTGGGATGTGGGCATGATGGCACCACGGACACCAAACACAGCAGAGAGCCCATACGAAGTTGGTGAGTGTGTGTGGGTCAAGCCACCGCAGGTCCGCTGTGACACGCGCTATGAACAGGGCGTTGTGACAAACATCATATCTGAGCAGGCGGTAGAAGTGGATGGTATACCTCGACACATCAGAGACCTGAGACCACGAGTGGCAGAAGGGGCTCCCGGAAACCTTCAGAACACCAGTCAGGTTACAGCCCGGCACGTGCAAGATTCCAGTGAAGATGAAGAGCCATTAGTTCTCCGGTTCGGTTGTCCAAGCCAGACCGACGGCTCTGTTGCAGTAGAACCAACTGGAGATGGGGTACAGACAGGTCAACCACTGAGACGCTCTGCGCGATTACGAAGGGAACCCCAACGACTGATGTACTCGTGACAGCGTGTTGTGAACGAGAGTGCGATGTTGAAACTGACTGTGTCACTGTAACTTATTGATCTCGCTTGTGTCTTTGAGATCAGGGGGGAGTAAGGGGAGGTCAGTTGTGACTTTGATGTCAGGGGGGAGTGTGGGGATCAGTCGATTTAACGCGCACGAGTAAAGTTATCACTGCACGAGAGCAGTGAATAAAATCAATGGTTTGGGAGATTGGGAGCAGCGAGTGCGAGGGTTGAGTGGATTGGTAGCTGGATTGGTTGTCATTTTTATTGGTGAGCAATATAGCACTTTTTATATACTTCCACACCTTTTATCTCACACTTGTTTAACAATGCCTGTCTAATACAAACATTCCATCGGCGATTCATTCTCAACTGAGCTGTAGTAGAAACCAACGACACTGTGAGACGGAAGCTTTTTGTCCAACGGAGCTTACACGAAATTTAGACCTCACGACTGAATGTGCTGAAGCCTAATAAGAAATTTCCGGGACATTGCAAATTGGGCGCTGGGCCGTTCCGGTGAACATATGGCGGTAGTCGTCTCCAGTGGCGCTCTCACCGCGACGTCGTTCCCCCGGCAGACAGCAGCGTCTCATATTGCGACCGTTTTTCATTTTGATGGCAGCGAGCCAAACGACTTTCAACCACTCAGCGTGCGGTGAGCACCGCGTCGCGCCTCGAGCACCATCGATCACGGCGCACGCGACGGCCGGACCGAGCTCGGGGGGCTGGAACAGACACCCGGCCGCCCTCCTCGGGCTGACCCGCCACCCAGTACCCACCGCGGGCTGACCTGACACCCGGAGCCGACCTGTGCGGGATGGACCCGACACCCGGGGCCGATCTGTGCGGGATGGACCCAACACTCAGGGTCGATCCCCGCGGGCTGGACTCGACACTCATCGGCTGACCGGCCTCCGAGGGATGGCCCCAACACCAGGGGCCGACCGACCACCCCGGCATGGACCAGAGAGTCGGCGACCCGTCGCCGACCCATTTTTAAAGTTATTCCTGTACTTGAGGGATCTTTTTATTGTATGATGTGGTGACGATTGATCGGTTGTATCGGTTCCAAACCCACCACCACTCCGGCAGTGGCGCCTTTGGTGCTGTGTGTCCCGGCGGCCAGTTGGCGGGATCTGCCCTCACTATAACGTCACCCCATGGGCTCGCTATCGTTACCCCATGTCCCCGCTGTGGCCACCCCATGTCCCCGCTGTGGCCCGCCGTGTTATTGGCTGCGCGGTGCGCGGCCGGCCGCGGCCTGTCGTGCCGCGCCCGGCCGATCCTCCCACTCGGCGCCCATCTCCGTAAGTCCATTAGGCAGCGGCGGCGCGCCGGTACCGTCGGCGGCCCGACGGGGGGGGGGGGAGCGTCCGATGAGCGATCTGCCCCGACAGTGCCCACCGTCCTGTCCGCCCCGACAGAGCAGACGCTACACGAGTCGCCAAGCGACGCGAGAGGTGAAACTGCAGCGAGTGGCCGAACGGGGGACTGAAGCTGTATTGATCGGACGTAACGGGTCGGCTCGGCCGCATCCGCCGCCGCTCGACCCCAGCCTGCGGGCGGCCGGAGGCGGCGGGTCGGGTCGGGTCGGGGCCGGTCAGCCGGGTCAGGCTGGGTCGGGTCAGGCTGGGTCGAGTCACGTCGGGTCGCGTTGGGCCCTGTCAGTCGGATCAGAATGGATCGGGTCGGGCTGGGTCGGGTTGGTCCGGGTCAGGTCGGATTGGGCCGGGTCAGGTCGGGTTGAAGCCAGCTGTCACAGGCCCCGGAGATGGGCCGGATCTGATCGATCACCTGCCGGGCAGAGGTGCCGCGGAGAAATGCCGCCGTGAAATGGAGGCCCGCAGCTCTGGCGGCTCGGCCCGTGCCGAGGAGGTCGTGTTCGGTGCCGCGGAGGTCGTGTGAGGGGCGGAGGACTCACGGTCGGTGCCGCGGAGGTCGCGCGAAGGGCGGAGGGCAGAGGACGGAGGACTCACCACGTCGATGATCTGCTGCAGGGAGATGCCGAAGCTGATGACGATGGGCTCCGACTCGTTGGCTACCGGCCGCTCCAGCACGTTGTAGTCGGACAGCAGCTTGTCCAACACCCGCTTCTCGTGTGGACCCTGCACGGAGCCTGCAATCACACACAAACGAGAACTCTGACTCCGCTTCTCGTGGGGACCCTACACAGAGCGCCCCACACAAGAGCGTCCTGTAATGGAACCGTAAGGTCCCTGCCTTCTCGTGTGGACCCTGCACGGAGCCTGCAATCACACACAAACGAGAACTTTAACCCCGCGTCTCGTGGGGGCCCTGCACGGAGCCTGCAACCACACACAGACGAGAACTGTAACCCTGCTTCTCGTGTGGACCCTGCACAAAGCCTGCAATCACACACAAACGCGTCCTGTAATGGAGCCGTAAGGTCCCTGCCTTCTCGTGGGGATCCTGCACAGAGCCTGCAACCACACACACACGCGTTCTGTAATGGAGCCGTAAGGGTTCCCACTTCTCGTGGGGACCCAGCACGGGGCCTGCAGCCACACACAGACACGAGCTGTAATGCCGGCTGACACAGACGTCGGGCGTTCACTGGTGCATATTTTTTTTTTTTTTGTTGGGTTAGGCCCTTTCGGTCCAATTAGACCATTTCAGAGCCGGAAGGATGATAGAAATTAGGGGAGGGTCCACGTCAAAACAGCTAGTGACTATTGAGCTAGTGACTTTTGAGCTAGTACAAAAGAGCTAGTGCTTTAAAACAGATAGCGCCAAAATAGCTAGGAATGCAAAACAGCTAGTACCTCAAATCAGCTAGAGACAAAAAAGCTAGCGTCAATATAGCTAGTAGAGCAAAATAGCTAGTGCTTCATTATAGCTAGTGACAAAATCGCTAGCGTCGAAATAACTAATGAAGCTGTAGCTTATTCGTACGAAGTACGGGCAGCTATTATAGATTCTTTCCCGACGAGCCCTCTGTGAAGATTTTGCTCGTTTTCTTAATTTTTGCGCGTGTTTTTGTTGTCTTCAAGTTAAATTCGCGTGTTTATTTTTCCGTTCAGTTATTATTGTCGTTTTTTGGAGTGAGTTGATATTTCCAAATTTTTAATTCTTTCAAAATTGCCACTTTTTCATTACCCAAAAGTTAAATTTGTTGCAATGGAAATAATAAAATCAAACAGGGGAGCAGACAAGATTATTTACAATGGATACATTTACCGCAAAAACACAACAAATGTTACAACACAGAGCTGGCGCTGCGAAATAGCAAGATGCAAGGGCTCTGCTTCCACACCTGTTACTTACATTAATGGTGGCGAAATTATCGAGAAACAACCACATAATCATCCTCCCGATTCAGTGCGTACCGAAATTGCCTCCTCACTACATCAAGCTTTAAATTCCGCAAGTACATCTCAGTTACCTCCCCGACGCATCATAAGTGATATTAACATTAGTGTGGAGGCACAAGCCATGGCTCCGAAACGAAAGAACATTACATTAACCCTCGCCCGTAAACGGTGTTTTGCCACCTTCGCCCATGCAGGGGGGGGGTTGGTGCGACCCCCCCTGGCGTTTGAAAACGGAGCGTCGTAGAGCTTAGCGGAAAAGACCAACGGCTTGCTCTCAACGAGATCTCGCGATTGGTGGTATATTTTTTGGTCCTAGGTCAACATTTGACCTACTTATGACCGGTCAAAGGTCAAATTTTCGGAAAAATCTAACTTTTTCAGATTTCCGCGCCGATTGCGGCAAAACGGTAAGAGATATCGACTTGAAACATTCACTATCGTGATCCTTGATCAATTCTCTATCGTTTGGTGTATATTTCGATGTCATAACTCTAAAAATGATGCGTTGGGAGCATCGGAAATCTGCAAGGTCATTTGTGCATTGGGTCACGTCAGGCGTGTGACGTCACTGACCTGACCCTGACCCAAAATGAACTACAAGAAACAACCGACGATGCCTGAAATGGATAGCAAATTCGAATTCAGGGCATCAAAATACCCCGAAAAGGCATAAAAGTGCAAGAAGTCATTACAGGTCAACCGAGGTCACTGACCTGACCTTGACCTTAAGTAACCTTCAAAATGTCAACGGACATTGTGCCAATGTCAAATCAGCCAGTTGTGATTCTAAAACAATCCATCAGTGTGTCAGGTCAGTCGGCATTTATACCAATGTGAAGCAATCTCCAATTTAGCGTAAATCTGGCCGGAGGTTGTTCCCTTTATGACGTCATATGACGTGACCTGACATGACCTTGACAAATTTTTTTTACCAAAAGTTGCGCAAAGGATGCCCCAAAAGGTACTGAAAATTTGAGCAGGCTATCTGAAACGGTTCGGCGTGTAGCTAAGAAAAACCTCAGGGGGGGGGGGGGGTTGCACCAACCCCCCCCCCCCCTACATGGGCGAGGGTTAAGGCTGCAAAGAAAAAGAAGAAGGCTGGTAGGATATGCCCCGGAGCCATCGACGAGGGCAGAAATTCAAATTCCCGAAAAATTTAAATTTGTTAAGCAAGGGGAAGAAGACGTACGCTTTTTATTATACGACAACGCCGAAAACGAAGACGATTACAACGAACGACCGAACGACCGAATCATAGTTTTTGCGACCGACCAAATGCTTGACGAACTGGCGGCGAACGATACATGGATGCTCGACGGAACTTTCAAAATTTCACCAGTACTTTTTAGTCAGTTATACACCATTCATGTGGTTGTAGGTGACTCAGGCCATGTTTTCCCTTGCGTTTATGCACTTCTTCCGGACAAAACTTTCGCAACATACCGAAAATTCTTCGAAATTTTAAAGTCATTTAGAGATCTGCAACCGCGTACGTGTGTTATTGATTTCGAATTGTCGGCCAAAAGGGCCCTCCGCGATGCCTTCCCTGACGTCTCAGTAGAGGGATGTTTTTTTTTCATTTGACTCAAGCTGTTTGGCGTAAGGTTCAGGCCAGCGGTCTTGTCCCGCAGTATCGGGACAAGCCATCAGTCCGAGAAGCCATCAAATCACTATGTGCGCTAGCATTCTTCGAAACGTCGCAAATTGTTGAAACTTTTGAGGAATTACAAGAGGAAGTGGAACGGCTGGGGGAAGAAGGATTACATCAATTATACGATTACTTTGAAGATACATATATAGGAAGGCTGGGTAGAAGAAGCAGAAGAGCACCGTTGTTTGACAAAATTATTTGGAATGTTAGAAGGAGGACAGAGGAAGGGATCCCTAGGACAAACAACAAATTAGAAGCGTGGCACCGGGGAATACAAGGCATGTTTGACTCATCACACCCATCATTAATGAGATTTTTCACCGCCATCCAAAAAGAACAAAATCTTCAAACATCTGATCTTGTGAAATTCAAAAGTGGCCAGGATGTTCAAAAACAAAAGAAAACATACAGAGACATGAATGCCAGATTGGTCACTCTACTGAGACGCTACAGGGAAGGCATTATTAGCAAAAAAGAATTCATTCGGGGAGTAGGCTTCAACATCACTTTGAATGTTTGAGATGGCATGACGCGGGAAATACATGAGTCATAGATACCTTGCATTTTCGAAGCGAAGTGATTGGGAAGGGAACAGAGGTCCAACGAAAGAGCTATTTTGACGCTAGCTGTTTTGTCACTAGCTGTTTTTAAGCACTAGCTATTTAGCTTCACTAGCTATTTTGACGCTAGCGATTTTGTCACTAGCTATAATGAAGCACTAGCTATTTTGCTCTACTAGCTATATTGACGCTAGCTGTTTTGTCACTAGCTGTTTTGAGGCACTAGCTGTTTTGTACTAGCTCAAAAGTCACTAGCTCAAATGTCACTAGCTATTCTGACGTGCACCCTTAGGGGAAGACATTGGTCTGGGCAGGCACCCTAGTGAGTCACCGGGGCTGAGCCCATCCCGAAGGACAGGCCGATCAGCCCCAAGGTACTCACTGCACCCGGCTACGGGGTGCGCTCCCTCGGGAGCAGCGGTGCCGCTCCAAGGGAGCAGCCCGCATGAGATAAAAGTTGCCTGTCCAGCCCGGAGGGGGGTTGCGGCGTGGAGAAGGATTTCCGTATCCTGAGGATAGAAGCATGGAACGGTGTGACTGGTGCATACCTATACCAGAGCCATTATATACAGCTCCAACCAATCACACATTGCAGTGGGAATTCGGATGGCCGAACTAATGATATATTGCTGTTTATACGCAGCATAAACAGCACTGACAAACGATAATTGAATCTGTCACCGAAGCTGTCGATAAGAGCCGCGGACGCCAGACCGCGAATGGCCTCCCCGGCTGAGCTGCGGGGCTGTGAGCCGCCATACCGGGCTAAAAATACCGCACAGTTGTGCAGCAGACGGCCGCGCCAAGTGTCCCGCTGGAAACCATCGGACGGCTAGCGGCCGAGTCGGGCGGCGACTGCTGATAGCCTCCCGGCGGCCCGAAATCCGCCCGCGCCGCCAGCAGCGGTCGCCACTGCCGCTGCCCGTGCTCAGAGACCGTTTATGTAGCGTAACGACAGAGTCCGGTCGGAGGCAGCCAGCCGGTCTGTGCTAGAGATGTCAATCGGATACCAACTTTTTGGTATACCGATACCAAACCGATACCAACTTGGTATTTGGTATTTCAATCATAATGTGTTTGGTATTTTGTTGGTATTATGAACCCTCACTAATGTGTAAGAGACTAGGAAATTGGTAAAAAGTTGGTATTTCCCTCATGTTCCCATGTTGGTTCGGTTTCGGTATTTCCACACGGTTTTGGTTGGTATTTGGTTTGGTATCGGTATTCAGATTTTCTGTAATTGACATCACTAGTCTGTGCGCTGGCCGAGCCGGTCTGTGCTGGCCGAGCCGGTCTGCGCTGGCCGAGCCGGTCTGTGCTGGCCGAGTCGGTCTGTGCTGACCGAGCCGGTCTGCGCTGGCCGAGCCGGTCTGTGCCGGCCGGACATACGGTCAAATAATACACAGCAGCTTTGTATTATTTTCAATGAGCGGATTTTCAAAGGAGTTTACGACAGGGATGAGTGAGTATGTAGGTACAGTCTGTCTTAAAAGTACCGCGCAAAGTGACGGTGGATCCATCAAGCCTGGCCGAGAAAGGGCCTGTTTTAATTTAAAAGCCACCGACCAATTGACCTAGGGAATGGACAAGGATGCATGCCAATTGCTTCGGTGACCCAAATT